GTGTCTTGCCTTCCTCTGCAGCATGGGGCATGGGTCACTGGCTGGGAGCATCTGGGCATGTCCCACCTACTTAATTCCCTGCCATTACAGGGGCCGAGCATTGGTGTGCTGCAGTCTCCCATTCTCTGCCTCTGGCACACAACCGTTTAGTCTCTAAAGACTGACATGCTTTGGTCTAAGTCAGGTAATTGAGTGAGTCCTGCATTATGTCTGGCTGAGTGAGAGTGGAGTTGCTAGAAGGAGATGCCCAATCTTTGATTAGTGACGGTGAAGCCACCCTGTGAGTTGCTTTAACATCAGTCCCCCTCCTTATTAAGCGTTTGCATGTTGTTCCCAGTTGGAATTTACAGCCATTGGCCCGGTCTCGCCCTTGCACACAAAGCAAACAGAGCTCTCAGACATGAAATGTGCCCCCAGATGCTGTGGTGGCTGCCTGTTTTTGCAGAGAGCCTGAAGCCATTCTTCCCAGGGGAGAACTCCTCTGACCCCATTGGGCTCATTGCAGACTCAGTGCCATGCCCAGTGGTGGCTAATGCAGTGGCTAGTGCTGATCTGGAATGGGGGAAATGGTGGGCAGGCAGTGGGAAGGCACAGCCAGGACACAAGGAGAGGAGGAGGAGGGGATCAAAAAGATGGCCTGAAAGGCTAGTGGGGATTCCCACTGAATGCAACAATAAAGCACTGAGCAAACAGCACCCACACCTTTCACTTCGAGCTGGTCAGAAAATGGGGAGATGTTTCCCTGGGAAATTCTGACTTTGTTGAAAAAATACAAATGTATTTTGCCACTAAAAAGAAAATAATCAGTTTTCTGTGGGGGCGAGGGGTGTTCTAGTGATGTGGAGCGGCCTAAAGCCCTTCCCACCCACTCAGCCTGTGCCGGGGGGGAGAGAGGGGGCGACTCCCACTGGAGATGGGCAGTGGTACGAAGCCCCCAGCCTGTGTGCGTGGGGGGGTGGAATTCCCAGTGGAGATGGGCAGGGATTGTTTAGTGACTGTCTGGACTCGGTGCTCTCCCTCATTGCTCTGCTCGGCCAGGGGCTCCCATGCACACAGCCTGGAGGGCAAACCCCACTTTGCATGGACAGCGCCCCAGCTAGTGCTCTGGTCCATGCTGGCCCTTACATGCCCAGACCCCACAGGGATCCCAGTGACCTATTGATCTTGGCTGTAAGCCCCTGGGAACACAGGCACTGCCAACTGGGGCAGCGCTGCGTCCTGTCTAGCCCGTTCTCTCCCACAGTGACCAGCATCAGATGCTGCAGAGGCAGGGGTAGGACCCGTGTGGTAGCAGTGTGGGGTAACCTGCCCCCGACAGGAGATCTCATCCTGCTCGCTAATGCCTTAAGCCCCAAAGCAGGAATAATCTGCCTGTTGGCATGAACTGTTATATCCCTGGACACGCCTGTACCCCAGAGAAAATGCCTGTGGACCTTTACAAGTGGGCGCAGCTCTCGGCCTCAGCGACACCCTGTGGCAGAGAGTTCCATCGGCTCGTCACTCCTTGCGTGTGGAAAAGCCTTTCTTTCGATCAGTTTCCAATTCCCCCTTTCAATCTCATTGACCAGCCCTTGTCCTTATGCTGTCAGAATGGATGCCCCCCCTTCTCCAGACCGGTTGGTATTTTATAGACCCAGGTCCTGCCGCCTCTTAGCAATCCACCTTGTTTCCATCTCTCTCCAGAGAAAAGTTTTTTCAGCCCCTCATCATTCTCGCTGTAGCCTTTGGGACGAGGTGCCCAGCACTGCACAGTGTCCAGAGGGGCCGCCCCATGAAACGGCTTTGCGACATGTGCTGTGATTCCCCATCCCAGATATTAACTATGCTGTGATTTCCTGCACAGAGCCCTGCCAGAAGGAAGTTAGTCAAGGGCAAAGTCACAGAGAATGGAGGCTCCGCACACCCTGCTCTCTGTGCCTGGCCTGGGGCTCCCCTCACACCCATGCTTCTCCCTGCAGGGCCCTGCCCGAGGGAACGTGCAGGGTGTAGACCCAAGGCTTAGGTCACTATCCCGTCCCCTGATCCTGGACTGACTCATCTCCATGGCGCATGGGGGCCCCTGGGAGGCACCAGGGTTAACCCTAACCCTGACCTCTTGGGTGTTTGCCTTTGCCCTCGCTGACCCCGTGCCTCCTCCCTTCCCCTCCGCAGTCCGCCCTGCGGCAGCGCCTTCCCCCCTTCCCTCTGGGGGAGCCGCCGTCCCGGGGAAGGGGCCCTGCTGCCTGTGACGGGGCCGGCACAGCCCGGGGAGGGGGAGCTCCCCAGAGTGAGGCCCAGGGAAGAGGGGAGCGCCAGGCCTCAGGGAACCCCGGGTCCCAGCCAGCCCGCACGGCGTGGGCAGAGGAGAGGAGCAGCTCCCAGCTCGCTCTGCTCGCCAGTGTGCACCTGTCCCGGCGAGGGGCGGGGGAGAGAGCCGGCCTTGCGAAAGGGCTTTATCCCAAGGCATCCCCTCCCCCGCCTGCCCGCCCAGCCGTCTGCACAAACTTCTGGGGCCTCCATGAAAGGAGCCCAAAGAAAAAGGATTAAGGTCCGTCTCCCCCCTGCCGCTGGGAGAGCGGCCGCCCTGCCCCCCAGACCGCACCGGGGACCGCTTCCCCGCCTTGCCCTGCAGCCAGCGGCTCCCAAAGTTGGGCAAGTGCCGCCCCCCCCCGCACCCAAGCCGGGGAGCCCAGACAAGTACGGGATTGTCCCCGCGGGCCCCTTCCCCCCGCCGGGGAGAACAAAAGGAGCCGGAGCCGGAGCAGCAGCAGCGCCCGCCTGACTCCTTTGTGCCACTTGTGCTCATGCAAAACAGCACATTCCAGCTCGCCTGGCCCCTGCGCCCCCACCCCGGCCGGGAGCGCCCTGACCCCCCCAGCTGCCCAGCATCTTTTATCCCCCGACCCCCGAGAAACTGACCCCTCCCCGCTAGGCCCCAACTCACGTCTGCAATACAAAGGGCTGCCCCGGGGAGCAGGCCCACTGTGCCACGCAGGCCAGCAGCACCCCCTCTTCCCCGCCACCTCCCCGGCCCGCGGGAGAGCCACGGCAAAAGTTGACTTAGTTTCCCCTGACCGGGCACCCCCTCCCCAACCTGCACGGCACCTGCTCCCAAGTCGGAGCCGGGGCCGGCGCCCAGCCATGGGGCGGCGGGGACGCTGGCGTGGGCCGCGCGGCACAGCTACTCACGGGCCGGGCGAGGCGACAGCTGGGGAGCCCCCCGCGCCAGCGCTGGGCTGGGGCTGACTGAGCAGAGCAGAGCGGCAAGCGGCCGGCCTCCCCCCTCATTGTATGGAGCAGGCATGCATGCAGCAATTTGCATTTTTTAAGCTTTTCATCACTGCACAGGCAGCGCTGGGAGTTTTCTCCCCCTCTCGCCGCCCAGCTCAAAATGGTGGCAGGGCTGGGGGGCGGGGGTGTCCCACACAGGCCGGGCTGCCAGGCATGGGGGGAGACGAGGGCCTTTCCCAGTCCCCCCTCTTTTCCCTTTGTTTAGATGGTGACATTTGGTAGAGTCCTGGTTATTGATCACAACATTAAAGAGACAGCGACCGGGAGAGAGACAGAGCGGGAGAGAGACTGGGCGCAGGTGGGGGTAGGCGCCAGGCTGCAGGGCAGGGGGTAGGAGCTCAGGGATGGGGCACGGGGGTGGGGGGTAGGAGCTCAGGGATGGGGCAGGAGCCCAAAGATGGGGCATGTGGTGAGGCTATTAGCCCAGGGACGGGATGCAGGGTGGGCGAAGGAACTCAGGGAAGGGTTGTGGGGCAGGGATACCCATCTGTCCCGTGGGACCACAGCACAACATAGGTGGTCAGAGGGGACTCTAGGCCTGTCTCTCCTGTGGGGTCATGGCCCCAGTGCAAGTGGGTTTGGAGGGCTCTGGGCCTGTTTCACTTATGGGGAGCACAACCCCAGCATGGAAGATGGGGATCTCTGGGTCTGTCTCTCCTGTGGGTGGGGGGGTCAAAACCCCAGGGCTGGGGGTCTCTGGGCCTGTCTCTCCTGTGGGGGGTCACAGCCCCAGGGCCGGGGGACTCTCCTGTGGGGGGTCACAGCCCCAGCATCAGGGGTCTCTGGGCCTGTCTCATCTGTGGGGGCCCGGAGGCTCTGGGCCTGTCTCTCCCATGGGGGTCACAGCCTCAGGGCCGGGAGTCTCTGGGCCTGTCTCTCCTGTGCGGTCACAGCCCTAGCACAGGGGAAGGAACCATCAGTTGCACACATACAAAATGGGAAATGACTGCCTAGGAAGGAGTACTGCAGAAAGGGATTTGGGGGTCAGAGTGGATCCCAAACTAAATATGAGTCAACAGTGTAACACTGTGACAAAAAAAGCAAACCTCATTCTGGCCTGTATTAGTAGGAGTGTTGTAAGCAAGACACGAGAAGTAATTCTTCCGCTCTACTCTGCACTGATTAGGCCTCACCTGGAGTACCGAGTCCGTTTCTGGGTGCCACATTTCAGGAAAGATGGGGACAAATTGGAGAAAGTCCAGAGAACAGCAACAAAAATGATAAAATGTTTAGAAAACATGATCTATGAGGGCAGATTGAGAACACTGGGTTTGTGTAGTCTGGAGAAGAGAAGACTGAGGGGGACATGATCACAGTTTTCAAATACATAAAAGGTTGTTACAGGGAGGAGGGAGAAAAATTGTTCTTCTTAACCTCTGAGGCCAGGACAAGAAGCAATGGGCTTAAATTGCAGCAAGGGAGGTTTAGGTTGGACATTAGGAAAAACTTCCTGTCAGGGTGGTTAAGCACTGGAATAAATTGCCCAGGGAGGTTGCAGAATCTCCATCATTGGAGATGTTTACGAGCAGGTTAGACAAACACCTGTCAGGGATGGTCTAGATAATACTTAGTCCTGCCAGCAGCACAGGGGACTGGACTAGACGACCTCTAACAGTCCCTTCCAGTCATACGATTTTATGGAGGCTGGGGCTGCTCTGGCGCGCCTGGATGCTGGCACACAGCTGGGTCCTGCAGTGGGACTGGCCACAGCACGGGAACAGAGACAGAGACAGCTGCCGGCACGGCTTTATTAATATGCAGGATATAAATGGCCAGGAGTCTGTACAGCGACCGGCTTCCTGTCTCCAAATGCAGTCACCCCAGCCCCTCCACCCCATAGTCGGGGGAGGCCTCAGTGCCAGGTCCTGAGGGCATGAGGCAGCAGCCTTCCAGTATACCTCTCATTCCTAGGCCAGGCCCCACAGGCTCCTGCTTCCCTGGCAGCTGCAGCCCCCACTCCTGCCGGCCCAGCTCCCTCAGTAAATATATTGTATATTATATACTCCTTAGTACTTGTATAAAGCTGCGGCCCCAAGAGCTGAATCCCCATGATGCTCCAGTCTGTCAGACAGAGAATTTCCCACAATGCTCTAATCCCTGAGCACAGAATGTCCCATGATGCTCCAGTATCCCCAGGACGGAATGTCCCAGGATGCTCCAGTCAGCCAGGCACTGAATTTCCCACGATGCTCCTGTATCCCCAGCAGGGAACATCCCATGATGCTCCAGTACACCAAGCACAGAATTTCCCATGATCTTCCAGTCGCTCCCAGCACAGTGTCTCACAATGCTCCAGTCTACCAGCCACTGAATTTCCCACAGTTCTCCAATCTCCCCAGAAGGGACTGTTCTATGATGCTCCAGTCTGCCAGGTAAAGACTTCCTGTGATGCTCCTGCCCCCGGCTGATGAGGCTGGGTCACCCCAGGGCCCTTGTGGCTGCCTTGCAGTAACCCTGGTGGCTACAGCTGCTTCAGAAGGGGAGGGGTGTGGACCTGGGCACGTGAAGGGGTTGTGGCACATGGAGTCACGACTGGGTGAGACAGGGATCAGTGTGTGCGTGTGCACGTGAAGGGGTTGTGGCACATGGAGTCACGACTGGGTGAGACAGGGATCAGTGTGTGCGTGGGCATGTGAAGGGGTTGTGGCATGTGGAGGCATGGCTGGGTGAGACAGGGATCAGCGTGTGCGTGGGCACGTGAAGGGGTTGTGGCACATGGAGTCACAACTGGCTGAGACAGGGATCAGCGTGTGCGTGGGCATGGGCACGTGAAGGGGTTGTGGCACGTGGAGGCACGGCTGTGTGAGACAGGGATCAGTGTGTGCGTAGGCGTGGGCATGTGAAGGGGTTGTGGCATGTGGAGGCATGGCTGTGTGAGACAGGGATCAGTGTGTGCGTAGGCGTGGGCATGTGAAGGGGTTGTGGCATGTGGAGGCATGGCTGTGTGAGACAGGGATCAGTGTGTGCATGGACGTGGGCACGGGCGTGGGCACGTGAAGGGGTTGTGGCACATGGAGGCACGACTGGCTGAGACAGGGATCAGTGTGTGCGTGGGCACGTGAAGGGGTTGTGGCACGTGGAGGCACGACTGGCTGAGACAGGGATCAGCGTGTGCGTGGGCACGTGAAGGGGTTGTGGCACGTGGAGGCACGACTGGCTGAGACAGGGATCAGCGTGGGCGTGGGCATGTGAAGGGGTTGTGGCACGTAGAGGCATGGCTGGGTGAGACAGGGATCAGTGTGGACCTGGGCACGTGAAGGGGTTGTGGCATGTGGACACACGGCTGGGTGAGACAGGGATCAGTATGCACATGAGTGGCAATCCTCATGGGCTCTGTGCACATGCACGGGGAGCTCGGTGAGTGTGCGGGGCCACGGGTGGGCACACTCGGGGTCCATGAGAGCGGGGTCCTCGTGCTAGCCAGGTGCTGGTGCTGGGGCAGTCCCAGGCCGTACTCAGGGTGCAGCTATCACTGCCCTTCTAGCCCCAGGCCAGCCCTGCTGCTCTGACGCCCAGGCCAGATGGGTTTCCTGCCCACACCATCACTGTCTTTCCCCTCCCAGGCCATGGGGCACTGCGCCCTCCACTGATACCCATCCCCCACCCCACATCGTAGCTACAGGGCCCTAGTAGTCCCATGAAGGGTAAGGGGAGGACCTATGGGGCAGTGGCTGGGGGTCGTCTGGTGGCTCCATGCAGTGGGTGGGGAGGGGAGGATCCGTGGGGTACAGCCTGTGGGGTGCAGTGCCAGGGGTCTGCCAGGGGCTCAGACTGTCCTATTCCTGGCGGCCCCAGGGCTCCGATCCTGCCCCACGCAACCACGAGAGGCAAACAGCTTCCTGTGCAGGCTCCAGACCCAGCTCTGGGGGAGAGAGAGAGCAGGGTGAGTGCCAGGGAGGGCGGGACAGACACACAGGGAGGGGGAGACAGACACACGGGGAGGGGCAGACGGTCAGCGACAGTGGGGGGCAGATGGACATGAGGGGAACATGGGAGGGCAGACGGACACAGAGTGGGGGAGGAGGACTAGACAGATGGACAGACGCAGTGGGGAGGGGTGGGTGCCCCGCCCGTGTGCTGAAGCGGGGCAGACAGACACACAGACTGACGGGCGCCCAGGGGGCATCCCAGCCGCTGTACCTCGGCACCAGGGTCAGAGCGGGGTCGCCAAGTCGGGGGGGGCGTGGCCGTCTCTCTGGCAAACAAATAAAACACCATTTGTGAGGGTGCCAGGATCACTGTGGGGAGGGGGAGGGAATGGGGCTGGGAATGTGAAGCGGGGGTCAGGGTTGGAGATGGGGAGGAGAGAGGGTATCCCTGGGCCAGTGTGGAGGGTGGAGCTAGGGGTAAGGGCATGGGCGACAGGGTAGGGGTGGGAAGGTTGGGGGGTGCCTTGGTCCCATGTGGGGAACACAGATGGTGGCAGAAAAGAGCAGACTGGTTCTGAAATGGCAACCCCCAGAGCAGCCTCCCCTGGGAGCCAGCAGGCCTGGGGCCCCGCAGTGCCCAGGCCTGGGGCAGGGCAGAGCAGGGCTGGTGCAGGGGTGGAAATGGTAACCGGCCTGGGGCCCTGCAGTGCCCAGGCTTGGGGCAGGGCAGGGCAGGGCAGGGCAGGGCTGGTGCGGGGGTGGAAATGGTAACCGGCCTGGGACCCCGCAGTGCCTAGGCTTGGGGCGGGGCAGGGCAGGGCAGGGCTGGAGGTGGAGTGGAAACGTAACCGGCCTGGGGCCCCGCAGTGCCCAGGCTTGGAGCAGGGCAGGGCTGGTGCGGGGGTGGAAATGGTAACCGGCCTGGGACCCTGCAGTGCCCAGGCTTGGGGCAGGGCAGGGCTGGTGCGGGGGTGGAAATGGTAACCGGCCTGGGACCCTGCAGTGCCTAGGCTTGGGGCGGGGCAGGGCAGGGCAGGGCTGGAGGTGGAGTGGAAACGTGGGGTGGAACCGCCGGCTTGGACAGGGCAGGGCTGGTGGGGGGGGAAATGGTAACCGGCCCTGCAGTGCCCAGGCTTGGGGCAGGGAGGGCAGGGCAGGGGGAGGACCTCAGCCTAGGCTTGGAGGGCGGGGTGGGGTGGAAACGGTAACCGGCCTGGGGCCCCGCAGTGCCCAGGCTTAGGGCAGGGCAGGCAGGGCTGGTGCAGGGGTGGAAACGGTAACCAGCCTGGGGCCCCGCAGAGCCCTGCCTGCAGTGCTGCCCATCCCCGGCCACTTACCAGGCAAGACAGTAATGCCCCCCGCACTCCTGTGAATTCAAATGCTCCCAATGCTCCCAGGAAAGATGCCAGCCCCTCCCAGAGAGCACAGCCAGACCGCCCACCAGCCAGCCATGCTCAGACAGAGACACAGCCAGCTACGCACAGACAGCCTGACAGAGACAGCCAGCCGGCCACGCACAGCCAGACATACAGCCAGTCTACCAGCCAGCCCTGCACAGACAGACTGAGCCAGAGAGACACACACACACTGCCAGCAACATCCATGACCAATGGACGGACCGACAGCCGGACGGACCCTGCTCTGCAGCACAGCCCCCACCCTGGCAGCTCTGAGTGGGCGAAGTGAGGTGACAGCTGAGCCCCCTGGAGCCCCGAGAGCTGAGATGGGGATAGAGACAAAGACAGACACCTGCCCCACAGCCCCTGCTGTGCCCCCCTGTACTCACTGGCCGGCGCTGCACTGGGGCAGAACCCCCTGGCGACTCTGCCCGCCTGGGGGATGGCTCCCCCAGAGCCAGAGCAGCTCCTGAGCCAGCGGCTGTCTCGGATGCTGCAAGAGAACCATTGGGGTGGAGGGTGAGCCCAGGGACCCATGCCTGTGCCCACCCAGACGCATTGCTGGGCATCACCACAGTGACTGGGCTACAGACCACGGAGCCATGTGTCAACAATAGGGACCAGCGTTGCCCCAGCAGCCTCGGTGTGGGGGAGAGGCAGAGACCCCCCCACATGTCTCCCACAAAGCCAGCCCACCATGCACTGACTTCACACAGCCCCAAACCCAGCCGTCTCTTTGAAGCAGCCACACCTCCCTGAATGCCAGGTGCCAGCCCTGTGTACCCTCCCCATGGAGCCAGCTTTCCCTCCACGGTTCCACCGAGCTCCCCAGAGACACCACCCCTGCAACCCTCCTGTCTTGTGGGCTCACCGCGGGGGATGTGCTTGACGTCCAGCTCCCACTCCTCCTCCTCCAGGTGCCCTGGCAGCGAGCAGGCCCCAGGGGAGCGCCCTGACGCAGGGGACACAGTGCTGGCATCGCAGATCAGGCCCAGGGGGGCAGGGCTGGGGCGGGGGGACGACGTGGCAGCCGGCGGGGAGCATGGGGCCCCGGCCCAGGGGCTGAAGGAAGAGACGGCCACAGAGGCACGGGTGCGGGCGGCTGCAGAGAGAGGGGATGAGAGAGCACCAGGGAAGAGACCCCCCCGAGCCCACAAAGGAGACACCTCTCTGCTCCTAGAGACAGACTGCTCCCCAACCCTGCCCCCAGAGAGACAGCCTAAGGACCCCTCCCCTCCCCAGGAGACCCCATCACCCCTGCTGCTCCCAGAGCCCCCCCTCTCCGAGAGACTCCCTGCTGTGCTCCCAAGACGCCCCCAGAGTGACCCTGCCATGCTGACAGCCCCACACCCCACGGCACCCCCGCAACCCAGCCCCCCCTCACCTCTGCCTGTGAGCAGGCTGCTCAGCAGGGCCTGGCTGGGGCTCTGGATGCTGACAAAGGGCTTGTCCCCGATGCCCATGGAGACCATCTCCTGGGTGTGCAGTTCTGGGCAGGACACACAGAGAGAGACTGTCACAACGGGGCCACGTGCCCCCATCCCAACTGGGACCATCCCCCAATCCCATCCCACCGGGGCCACTCCCTGACCCATCCCCCTCCTTCCCCATCACAACGGGGCCCACCCCCCAATTCCATCCTGCTGGGGGTCACTCCCTCCGTCCCATCCCCCTCCTCCTTCTCTACCCCATCTCAGCAGGGCCCACCCCCCAATCCCATCCTACCTGGGCTACTCCCCATCCCATCCCCCTCCTTCCCCACCTCATCATAATGGGCCCACCCCCAAATCCCATCCCACCGGGACCATTCCCCAACCTGTCCCCCTCCTTCTCCACCCCATCACAATGCGCCCACCACCCCCAAGTTCCACCCTGCTGGGGCCATCTCAGCAGGCCCATGCCCCCCATCCTCTCCTCTGCCTTGTCACAAGGCCCACATGTGTCCCTATGCATTACACCAAGGGCCATGTCCCCCACCAATCCCATCCTCTCATTTTGCCATGCTGGTGCCCGTGTCCTCTTGCTTCCCCCAACCCATCACAATGAGAGCTACTCCTTCCCCCAATCCTGACACGCCAGAGCCCATGTACTCATCCCACAACCTCATCCCTCACGCCTCATCTCATTGCAGCCCCGGATCTCGTCCTACCTGTTCTCCCCATTCCTGCCCCCCCATACCACCTCCGCCTACCCTTGCTGAGTGTGGCCTGCCTCCACAGCAGCTGAGCCACGGCGCTGGTCCACTTGTGCTTCACCTCGGGTGAGGAGGCCTGCAGCGTGTAGGCCTCACGCAGCTTGCGACGCCGGAACCAGAGCTCGAATCGCAGCCCACTCTCCCCGATGTTCTCCGTCAGCCCCATATCCGCCGTCTGGGGGGCGGACAGCATGGCCAGGAGGTGAGACACACCTCGAAGGCCTGTTTGCAGAGGCGGACCCATGGGGGAGGTAGTGCTGGGGGAGGAATCCTATGGGACAGGGCAAGTGGTCCCCTGGGGCAGAGTGGGATGAGCCAGCACACCTCGAAGGCCTCTTTGCAGTGGGGGCAGATCCCCTGGAGTGGAACAGGATGGGGTGGGGCAGGGATCCCATGGGGTGGGGCAGGGTATCTTGAAGACCTGTTTGCAATATTGTGGTAGGGGTCCTATGGAGTTGGGCAGGGCAGTGCACCTTGAAGGCCTGCTTGAAGTCCTGGGAGAGAGGGCCGCATGGGGTGGGGCAGGGCTGGGGGAAGGGGTCCCAGGGAGTGGAGCAAGATCCTATGGGGTGGGACAGGGAAGGAAGCCTATGAGACAGGGTAGTGCAGGGCAGGGGGAGATCCTACTGAGTGGGGCAGGATCCCATTGGGCAGGAAAGAGCAGGGTGGAAGAAGGCAGGAGCAAGAGATCCCATGGGGCAGGGCGGAGTCGGGGGAACAAGGCAGGGGCAGGTGATCCCATGAGGTGGGATGGGATCCCATTGGGCAGGGCAAGGCATGGGGGGAACAAGGCAGGGAGAGAGGATCCCATGGGGCAGGGCAAGGCAAGGGGAGGGGATCCCATGGGGGAGGGCGGAGCAGGGGGAACAGGGCAGGGGCAGGAGATCCCATGGGGCAGGGCAGAGCGGGGGAAACAGGGCAGGGGCAGGAGATCCCATGGGGCGGGGCGGGGGGAGCAGGGCAGGGGCAGGAGATCCCATGGGCGGGGCGGGGGGAGCAGGGCAGGGGCAGGAGATCCCATGGGCGGGGCGGGGCGGGGCGGGGGGAACAGGGCAGGGGCAGGAGATCCCAGGGGCGGGGCGGGGGGAACAGGGCAGGGGCAGGAGATCCCAGGGGCGGGGCGGGGCAGGGCAATGCAGGGGGATCCCATGGGGCGGGGCGGAGCGGGGGAACAGGGCAGGGGCAGGAGATCCCAGGGGCGGGGCAGGGCAAGGCAGGGGGATCCCATGGGGCGGGGCGGGGCGGGGGGAGCAGGGCAGGGGCAGGAGATCCCAGGGACGGGGCGGGGCAGGGGGGCAGGGCAATGCAGGGGGATCCCATGGGGCAGGGCAGAGCGGGGGGGAACAGGGCAGGGGCAGGAGATCCCATGGGGCGGGGCAGAGCGGGGGGAACAGGGCAGGGGCAGGAGATCCCATGGGGCGGGGCAGAGCGGGGGGAACAGGGCAGGGGCAGGAGATCCCAGGGGGCGGGGCAGAGCGGGGGGAACAGGGCAGGGGCAGGAGATCCCATGGGGGCGGGGCGGGGGGAACAGGGCAGGGGCAGGAGATCCCATGGGGCGGGGCAGAGCGGGGGGAACAGGGCAGGGGCAGGAGATCCCAGGGGCGGGGCAGAGCGGGGGGAACAGGGCAGGGGCAGGAGATCCCATGGGGCGGGGCGGGGCGGGGGAGCAGGGCAGGGGCAGGAGATCCCAGGGGCGGGGCGGGGCGGGGGGGGCAGGGCAATGCAGGGGGATCCCATGGGGCAGGGCAGAGCGGGGGGAGCAGGGCAGGGGCAGGAGATCCCAGGGGCGGGGCGGGGCAGGGCAAGGCAGGGGGATCCCAGGGGCAGGGTGGCGCACCTTGTAGGCCTGCTTGTAGACGTAGACGTCCAAGCCGCCCTCAGTGCCCCTGCGCTTGCTGAAGAGCAGCAGCTGCTCGAAGAGGAAGACGTGTCGATGGCACTTGCGGCGCCCGCGCAGCACGGTGAACTCGTCCCGGTGCAGCAGCTGCCCCTGTGCCTTCAGCTCCAGCTGTGGGGAGAGGAGATGCCGCGGGCAATGGGCAACCTCCCCGGGCCAGGCTCGCCACCCCCCGGGACGGAGCAGCGCACGCTGGGAGAGCCCCCGCCCGCCCCCCGGGACGGAGCAGTGCATGCTGGGAGAGCCCCCGCCCGCCCCCTCGGGTAGGGACGGAGCAGCGCAGGCTGGGAGAGCCCCCGCCCGCCCCCCAGGACGGAGCAGCGCACGCTGGGAGAGCCCCCGCCCGCCCCCTCGGGTAGGGACGGAGCAGCGCACGCTGGGAGAGCCCCCGCCCGCCCCCCAGGACAGAGCAGCGCACGCTGGGAGAGCCCCCGGCCCCCCCCTCGGGTAGGACGGAGCAGCGCACGCTGGGAGAGCCCCCGGCCCCCCCCTCGGGTAGGGACGGAGCAGCGCAAGCTGGGAGAGCCCCCGGCCCCCCCCTCGGGTAGGACGGAGCAGCGCACGCTGGGAGAGCCCCCGCCCGCCCCCTCGGGTAGGGACGGAGCAGCGCACGCTGGGAGAGCCCCCGCCCGCCCCCTCGGGTAGGGACGGAGCAGCGCACGCTGGGAGAGCCCCCGCCCGCCCCCTCGGGTAGGGACGGAGCAGCGCACGCTGGGAGAGCCCCCGCCCGCCCCCTCGGGTAGGGACGGAGCAGCGCACGCTGGGAGAGCCCCCGCCCGCCCCCTCGGGTAGGGACGGAGCAGCGCACGCTGGGAGAGCCCCCGCCCGCCCCCTCGGGTAGGGACGGAGCAGCGCACGCTGGGAGAGCCCCCGCCCGCCCCCTCGGGTAGGGACGGAGCAGCGCACGCTGGGAGAGCCCCCGCCCGCCCCCTCGGGTAGGGACGGAGCAGCGCACGCTGGGAGAGCCCCGCCCGCCCCCTCGGGTAGGGATGGAGCAGTGCATGCTGGGAGATCCCCGGCCACCTGCTCTGGTAGGGATGGAGCAGGGCATGCTAGGAGAGCCCCTGGGGTCCCATCCTCCCAGGACAGAGCAGTGCATTTTGGGATGGCCTCTGGGCAGAGCAGTGCATGCTGGGATGGCCCTTGGCTCCAGTCACCTCACAGCCCCGGATCTGCTCCATCGCCAGCAGGTTCCTGCCGTGCTGCACCTGGGACTCCAGCAGCTGCTGCGCTGCCCGCAAGGCCTCGCGCTCTGTCGTCTGCTCCGGGTCCGTCTCCTGCAGCAGCTCCTCCAGAAAGTGCCCATAGTGCTCCAGCTGCTCCAGGGGCCTCTGCAGGGCACTTGCCAGCGCCGTGTCCTCCCAGGGACCTTCTAGGCTGCTGTGTGCCATCTGGGGGGAGGAGAGGAGCTGAGCACAGAGCCCACAAGCCGGGCTACTGCACCATCACTGCGGCTTCCAGATCCCAACAGCCGCCCAGACCAAGGAACGGAACCCACAGATCCTAGCTCCCAGACCCCAGCTCTAACCACTAGACCCCACTCCCTTCCTAGCACCAGGGCTAGAACCCAGGAGTGCTGGCTCACAGACCCCCTCGCTCTAACCACTAGACCCCACTCCCTTCACAGGACCCATCCCCAATTAAATCATCCCAGCCAGGGCTTTGTCAAGCCTGACCTTAAAAACTTCTAAGGAAGGAGATTCCACCACCTCCCTAGGTAACGCATTCCAGTGTTTCACCACCCTCCTAGTGAAAAAGTTTTTCCCAATATCCAACCTAAACCTCCCGCACTGCAACTTGAGACCATTACTCCTTCTCCTGTCCTCTTCCACCACTGAGAATAGTCTAGAACCATCCTCTCTGGAACCACCTCTCAGGTAGTTGAAAGCAGCTATCAAATCCCCCCTCATTCTTCTCTTCTGTAGACTAAACAATCCCAGTTCCCTCAGCCTCTCCTCATAAGTCATGTGTTCCAGACCCCTAATCATTTTTGTTGCCCTTCGCTGGACTCTTTCCAATTTATCCACATCCTTCTTGTAGTGTGGGGCCCAAAACTGGACACAGTACTCCAGATGAGGCCTCACCAATGTCGAATAGAGGGGGATGATCACGTCCCTCGATCTGCTTGCTATGCCCCTATTTATACATCCCAAAATGCCATTGGCCTTCTTGGCAGCAAGGGCACACTGCTGACTCATAACCAGCTTCTCGTCCACTGTCACCCCTAGGTCCTTTTCCGCAGAACTGCTGCCCAGCCATTCGGTCCCTAGTCTGTAGCTGTGCATTGGATTCTTCCGTTCTAAGTGCAGGACCCTGCACTTATCCTATTGAACCTCATCAGATTTCTTTTGGCCCAATCCTCCAATTTGTCTAGGTCCCTCTGTATCCTATCCCTGCCCTCCAGTGTATCTACCACTCCTCCCAGTTTAGTATCATCCGCAAATCTGCTGAGAGTGCAATCCACACCATCCTCCAGATCATTTATGAAGATATTGAACAAAACCGGCCTCAGGACTGACCCCTGGGGCAGTCCACTTGACACCAGCTGCCAACTAGACATGGAGCCATTGATCACTACCCGTTGAGCCCGACAATCTAGCCAACTTTCTACCCACCTTATAGTGCATTCATCCAGCCCATACTTCTTTAACTTGCTGACAAGAACACTGTGGGAGACCGTGTCAAAAGCTTTGCTAAAGTCAAGATACAATACATCCACTGCTTTTCCTTCATCCACAGAACCAGTAATCTCATCATAGAAGGCGATTAGATTAGTCAGGCATGACCTTCCCTTGGTGAATCCATGCTGACTGTTCCTGATCACTTTCCTCTCATGCAAGTGCTTCAGGATTGATTCTTTGAGGACCTGCTCCATGATTTTTCCGGGGACTGAAGTGAGGCTGACTGGCCTGTAGTTCCCAGGATCCTCCTTCTTCCCTTTTTTAAAGATTGGCACTACATTAGCCTTTTTCCAGTCATCTGGGACTTCCCCCGTTCGCCACGAGTTTTCAAAGATAATGGCCAATGGCTCTGCAATCACAGCCGCCAGTTCCTTTAGCACTCTCGGATGCAACTCGTCCGACCCCATGGACTTGTGCACGTCCAGCTTTTCTAAATAGTCCCTAACCACCTCTTTCTCCACAGAGGGCTGGCCATCTATTCCCCATGTTGTGATGCCCAGCGCAGCAGTCTGGGAGCTGACCTTGTTAGTGAAGACAGAGGCAAAAAAAGCATTGAGTACATTAGCTTTTTCCACATCCTCTGTCACTAGGTTGCCTCCCTCATTCATTAAGGGGCCCACACTTTCCTTGGCTTTCTTCTTGTTGCCAACATACCTGAAGAAACCCTTCTTGTTACTCTTAACATCTCTCGCTAGCTGCAGCTCCAGGTGCAATTTGGCCCTCCTAATTTCATTCCTACATGCCCGAGCAATATTTTTATACTCTTCCCTGGTCATATGTCCAACCTTCTACTTCTTCTAAGCTTCTTTTTTATGCTTAAGATCCGCTAAGATTTCACCGTTAAGCCAAGCTGGTCGCCTGCCATATTTACTATTCTTTCGACACATCGGGATGGTTTGTCCCTGTAACCACAACAGAGATTCCTTGAAATACAGCCAGCTCTCCAGGACTCCTTTCCCCTTCATGTTAGTCCCCCAGGGGATCCTACCCAACCGTTCCCTGAGGGAGTCGAAGTCTGCTTTCCTGAAGTCCAGGGTCCGTATCGTGCTGCTTACCTTTCTTCCCTGTGTCAGGATCCTGAACTCAACCAACTCATGGTCACTGCCTCCCAGATTCCCATCCACTTTTGCTTCCCCTACTAATTCTTCCCAGTTTGTGAGCAGCAGGTCAAGAAAAGCTCCCCCACAGTTGGCTCCTCTAGCACTTGCACCAGGAAATTGTCCCCTACGCTTTCCAAAAACTTCCTGGATTGTCTTTGCACCGCTGTATTGCTCTCCCAGCAGATATCAGGAAAATTAAAGTCACCCATGAGAACCAGGGCATGTGATCTAGTAGCTTCCGCTAGTAGGGTTACCTAGGGAGGTGGTGGAATCTCCATCCTTAGAGGTTTTTATGGCCCTGTGACGACAGGCCCAGCTTGACAAAGCCCTGGCTGGGATGATTTATTTGGAGTTGGTCAAGCAGGGGGCTGGACCAGATGACCTCCTGAGGTTTCCTCCAACCGTAGTCTTCTATGATTCTATGAAAACCTCCTTTACTCACACCTCAGCCTGGGAGAGTTCCTCAGATTGGTCACCTACAAAGAATGGCTCAGGTGTGGGAACCTCCCTCACATGCTTTGCAATGAAGACCAATGCAAAGGATTTGTTTAGCTTTTCTGAAACCTCATCTGCCTCGAGTGCTCCTTTAGCACCTCAGATGTCCAGTGGCCCCATTGATTGTTTGGCAGGCTTCCTGCTTCTGATGTACTTAAAAAAGATTTGCTGTTTCTTTGTGTGTCTTTTGCTAGTTGCTCTTCAAATTCAAATTTGCGGATGATACTAAACTGGGAGGAGTGGTAGATACGCTGGAGGGGGGGGATAGGATACAGAAGGACCTAGACAAATTGGAGGATTGGGCCAAAAGAAATCTGATGAGGTTCAATAAGTATAAGTGCAGGGTCCTGCACTTAGGACGGAAGAACCCAATGCACAGCTACAGACTAGGGACCGAATGGCTAGGCAGCAGTTCTGCGGAAAAGGACCTAGGGGTGACAGTGGACGAGAAGCTGGATATGAGTCAGCAGTGTGCCCTTGTTGCCAAGAAGGCCAATGGCATTTTGGGATGTATAAGTAGGGGCATAGCGAGCAGATCGAGGGACGTGATCGTTCCCCTCTATTCGACATTGGTGAGGCCTCATCTGGAGTACTGTGTCCAGTTTTGGGCCCCACACTTCAAGAAGGATGTGGATAAATTGGAGAGAGTCCAGCGAAGGGCAACAAAAATGATTAGGGGTCTGGAACACATGAGTTATGAGGAGAGGCTGAGGGAGCTGGGACTGTTTAGCCTGCAGAAGAGAAGAATGAGGGGGGATTTGATAGCTGCTTTCAACTACCTGAAAGGGGGTTCCAAAGAGGATGGCTCTAGACTGTTCTCAATGGTAGCAGATGACAGAACGAGGAGTAATGGTCTCAAGTTGCAGTGGGGGAGGTTTAGATTGGATATTAGGAAAAACTTTTTCACTAAGAGGGTGGTGAAACACTGGAATGCGTTACCTAGGGAGGTGGTAGAATCTCCTTCCTTAGAGGTTTTTAAGGTCAGGCTTGACAAAGCCCTGGCTGGGATGATTTAACTGGGATTTGGTCCTGCTTCGAGCAGGGGGTTGGACTAGATGACCTTCTGGGGTCCCTTCCAACCCTTATATTCTATGATTCTATGATTCCTTTTTTGGCCTGTTCAGTTATACTTTTGCATTTGATGTGATAGAACCCAAGAGTCCTGAACTCCCAGCCCTGCCTGGCCTAACCACTAAACCCCACTCCCCTCCCAGAGCTCTGAGCTTCTCCATGGGAAGATGCAGGCAACACAGATAGTACCTTGTTGGCAGCTTGCTGAGAGGCCAGGGCCGCTTGGAGCTTCTGCCAGTTCTTCACGTAGAGAGCATAGAGACTGAATTGGTCCGCCTGGCGCAGAGAGTGATGGGGGAATTAGAGTCAACTTCAGCTTCACCACCTCCCCACAGCACAGGGGACACGGGGAAGACACAGAAGGGCTGGGCCAATGCAATTAGAGCAGGAACCCAGGGCAGATGGGCTGTGGCTCCTGCAGGGGTCTACTGGCATCTCCTAGGGAAGACGATGGGGGTGCCAGTGAGTAGCACTCATGCCTTGGGTGGGGGGAGGTGCCTGGGAGAGGGGCGTTCCGGAGGGAGGGTGGGGGTCCCCAGATGGGTCACGGGGCTGGACACTCACATATCGCAGGAAGCAGCCCCCTGCACGGAGTGGGTGGCTGGCGCAGCCCTGCAGCTCCTTCAGGAAGTAGGCGCGGTGGAAGCCCAGCAGCCGGTCGCGGGTGCCCTCCAAGGCACTGCACTCGCGTCTCAGCTCAGGGGGAACCTCCTGGCATCCCGACTCCAGGGCCAGCGACTCAGCCAGGCAGCCCAGATACTCCTGCTCCGAGGCAATCAGCTCTGCCACCAGCCTCTGCTGGGCGCTGGGAAGGAGAGGGGATGGGCATCAGAGAAGGGCCCTGTGCCCTACTCTGTGGGTGCTGATGAGCCTCCCACCCTGGGGCACTCCTACGTGCCGCCCATGGGTCACCCAGCCCGATGCTCCCCTCAATCCCATGGGTGACAGCCGTCCCATGGGTACTGATGGGCCCTGTGCCACAGTGCCCCCCACACCCTCACAGGTGCCAATGGGCCCTCCCCCCGATGGGCACCAACAGGTGGTGCCAGGGTGCACTTCTCTTGGAGTTGACAAAGCCCTGGCTGGGATGATTTAACTGGGAATTGGTCCTGCTTTGAGCAGGGGGTTGGACTAGATGACCTTCTGGGGTCCCTTCCAACCCTGATATTCTATGATTCTATGATGATTCTCAGACGGGGCAATGGGTCCCAGCGTGTGGGGTATTCAGGTCCCAGTGCGTATGTGGGGTGGCAGTTAGGGGTGGGGGCAGGGCCCAGAAGCCCCGGGTCCTGGTGTGGCGCAAGTATCCCTCCTCCAGAGCGACTCACCCCAGGCGGCGTTTCCGCTCAGTGCTGGGCGTGCCCCCCCACGGCGCCTCGGCCCTCTGGGCACTGCTGCGGACCAGCATCACGTGCTCCCGGGGCGAGCAGGTCCGGTCCACCACCTCCTGGCTGCTCACTTCCAGCCCGCGGATGAGGACACTGGGGCGGGGAGGGCTGGGGCCGGGCTCGCTCAGCGCCCTCTGTGTGCTGGGGGGACCCCTGGGGGGAGGCTGGCAGGGGGGCAGTGTGCCCAGAGGCAGCGTGGGTGCCTGGAAGAAGGCAGCGGTGGGGGTGCTGGTGGGAGGGGGGCTCCGCTCTTCGTCGCTGGTCTCCATGGGGTCCCTAGGGGACGCCAGTGAGTGGCAAGAGGGCACCTCGCACAGGCCAGGGGAGAGGCTGTCAGGCGGGGGCAGCAGGCAGCTCATGCTGCGGGAGGAGCCCAGGCTGGTGCCCAGGCCCCTCGTTGGGCGCTGCGGTGAGCAGGAGTTGCTGGTGCTGTCAGCACGGCGCCGGGGCGGGGGCCCAGTCTGCCATGCCACCTCCAGCCGCCGCTGCAGGAGGTGCCCCAGCTCCTGGCAGCGGGCCCGGCAGCGCCCCAGCTCCCGCAGCGCCCAGGGATTCTGCACTGCCAGCCCACGCATCTCCTGGAAGGCGCCGTCCGAGATCTCGCCATGCTGCTGGCAGTACCGGCCCAGCGCCCCCAGCACCACCTCCGGCCCTGCGCCGTCCTCAATGGCCGACAGGCGCCGGGCGCCCTCCAGGGCCCAGGCCTGAGCCTACGAGAGAGGGCAGGAGAGACGGGGTGAGAGTGACGCAGGCCATGGGGGACAGGGAGCGGGGTCAGGGGGACGCAGGCCAGGGGAGACGGGGGGAGGCAGGCCAGAGGAGATGGGGAGCCGGCACCAGGATCAGAGTGATGCAGACCATGGGGGATGGGGAGCTAATGGGGGGGAGAGCGGGGAGGAAGAAGGGGGGCAGGAAAGGGAGCCAGGGACAGGGGGGATGGGAAGCCCTGCAATGGAAATGGGCAGGAATGACAAATGGACCCAGGAAAATCACCCCCCCCCCCCCAATGTGTGATGCTGCCCTGGGGGCGTCCACACCCGCCTCTGGCATGGATAGCGGGGCTGGGCTGCCTCAGATGTGGAGTCGGCTCCCCTGCCAGGAACACGCCCCTGGGCTGAACTAAGCTGGATGCTAAAGGGGAAAGGAGGGATGGGGCAGGCACAGACAGACAGACAGACAGAGGGAGCACGCCGAGCGGCTGGCACCTGCTGCAGGAAGCGGTGCAGCCGCAGGGCACTGTGCATGGTGTGCGCACAGCTCTCCAGCCGGCGCGCGAAGCTCTCCAGCTGCTGCCCCTCAGGGGCCAGGACCCCGTCACCAGCCAGACGCAGAGCCTCATGCCCCCGGGCCAGCCATTCCTGGGGGAGAGAGGAGGAGACCCTACGCTCCAGACTCCCGCCAGCACAGAGTGCCCCACGGAGCTGACGCCCCTCAGACACAAACCCCGCCCAGTCCCATGTGGAGCACCCCATAGAGCACGTGCCCCCCCCAGTATAGAGCCCCCCACAGACCCAATGCACACCCCACAGCATAGAGCCAATGCTCCCCCACCCTTAGTATGGGGAGTCCTGAAGAGTTAATGCACCCCCAGCCCCATATGGAGCACCCCACAGAGCCCATGTCCCCCCCAGTATAGAGCCCCCCACAGACGCAACGCACACCCCACAGCATAGAGCAACTGGATGCTCTATGCCCGCCCACTCTCAGCCCAATGCCTGCCTACCCTGCGGAGCCGATGTCCCCCAAATACGATGCGCCCCACAGAGCCGACACCCCCCCGTCACAGAACAGCGCACCCCGCAGAGCCAACGCACCCCCCACCCTCAGTACGGCATACCCCGCAGAGCCAATGGGCCCCCCCCAAACAGCTCACCCCGCAGAGACGAAGCAACCCCCCCACCCTCAGTATGGCGTGCCTGGCAGAGATGACACCGCCCACATTCAATACGTTGCATCCTGCAGAAGCAATACACCCCCACTCATTACAGCGTGCCCCGTAAAGCTCAGGCTCCCCCACCCTTGCTATGGCATGCCTTGCAGAGCTGATCTGCTCCCCCTCAATATGGTGCATCCCGCAGGGCAACCCCCCTCATTACAGTGCCCCGCAGAGCCTACGCCACCCCCCCAGAACAGAGAGCCCCGCAGAGCCTACGCCACCCCCCCAGAACAGAGAGCCCCGCAGAGCCTACGCCACCCCCCCAGGACAGAGAGCCCCGCATAGCCTACGCCACCCCCTAGTACAGAGAGCCCCGCAGAGCCTACGCCACCCCCCAGAACAGAGAGCCCCGCAGAGCCTACGCCACCCCCTAGTACAGAGAGCCCCGCAGAGCCTACGCCACCCCCTAGTACAGAGAGCCCCGCAGAGCCTACGCCACCCCCCCAGAACAGAGAACCCCGCAGAGCCTACGCCAGCCCCCCAGGACAGAGAGCCCCACAGAGCCTACGCCAGCCCCCCAGTACAGAGAGCCCCGCAGAGCCTACGCCAGCCCCCCAGGACAGAGAGCCCCGCAGAGCCTACGCCACCCCCCCAGGACAGAGAACCCCACAGAGCTGGCACCCCCCGGTATGTAGTGTCCCACAGAACCAGGCCTCCCAGTATGCAGCGCCCCACCCACACTCTTCTCCTCAGGGTCCCAGCCCCCAATAACACCCACATGGGGGTGTGTACCTGCAGATCCCTCTGTGCAGCACTCAAGTGGGGGAGGGGGCAGGGAAGTGTCTCACCTTGGCAAGGGTGTGAAAAGCCTCAAACTTCGCCAGCGTCTCCTCCACGGTCAACAACGAATCCCCCACCCCCATGGGGGTGAATCCTGCCAGCGCCTGCTCCCCATGGTCAGCCAGCCAGCCCACCACCTGCCAGGACAGGGGGTGAGAGCAACAAGAACAGGCAGGGGGGCAGGCATGTGAGGGTCAGCACCCCAGGCATGGCAGGGGAGAGGACATGGGGGCTGCCAGACTGCTGGGCATGGGAGTTGGGAGGGAACCTCTGGGGGGGCAGTGAGGGGGGAAGGTCACTAGGGGAGGTAGCAGAGGGGTACTACCTGTGTCATCTGCCGGCGGCTCCTCTCCTGCTCCAGCTGCCCCAGGCACCGATTGCTGAGCTGCACCAGCCTATGAATGGCGTCGTCCACCTCCTGATACAAGTTGACAGCCCTCGTGGCTTGGCCACTGCGCATGGGAGAGGATGTCAGTCCCTGCCCCACGCGCCGCCCCTCGTGCCATACCACTGCCCCATGCACCATCCCCCTGCCCCACGCATTGCCCCCTCACTGCCAGCCCCACGCTTGCCCAGCCACCCCTACGCTGCCAACTCCATCTAGCAACCGCCACACCCTGCCAGCCCCCCACACTGTGGCCTGGGGACAGCAAATAGCATGTCACTCCCTGCCTCTCACATCACCATGCCGCCAACCTCGTCCCCTGCCCCTCCTCCCCCGACCCCGCTCTGCCAGGGCACAGGGTATGGGGCAGTTTCGCAAGCAAGCATGTGTATAAGGCGGGCAGAGACCACCTCTCCCAACTACAGTGAGAGAACTCTGGCACAGGGGCCATCCCCCAGCATAGGTTGTCGGGACACACCCCGTGTAGGGCCTGATGCCCTCCCATTGTGAGGCCTGGTGTGCCCTCCCGTCCCTTTGGGATGTGGGACAGGTGTCACCTGCAGGTCCCTGATGAGGACAGTTGAGCCAGCAGGGACCCCCCACTGCTCTGCAACTCCAGCAACCGTGGGTCTGACAGCAGCTTCTGCATGGCATCCTTGTGTCCGGAGATCCGCACAGAGAGCGCCTGCGGGCACATAACAGTGAGCAATACAACGCCCCCCTGCACAGCCAGCCTGCCCGGCCCAGAACCTCCAACCCAGCCCAGCCCAGCCCAGCCCCCCCTGCCCAGCCAGCCCCTGGCCCAGAGCCCCCCGAACAGCCGGTCCGGCCCAGAGCCCCCCAATCAGCCGGTCCGGCCCAGAGCCCCCTCAGGAAGGCCAAGGGGGCCCTGCAGGGGCTGGAGAGTCACATGGGGAGAGCCAGGGAGGCCTGGAAGACTGTGTGGGAATACAGGGTGGCAGGAGACTTGTAGGGGGAGGGGAGGACAGCTGCAGCAGGGCTGGGGAGCAGGGGAGTCATGGGAAGGCCAAGGGGCACCGAGCTGCAAGGGGACCTGGGGTTGGGGGCAGGCGAGCTGCATGGGGGTGTCACGTACCTCGTCGCCCTCGGCCAATTCTGATGCCTCCAACTTGGCACTGGCCACTTGCACTGACTGGATCACGCCCTGGCAAAGCCCACAGAGCCACTCCAGCGCCTGCAGGGAGAGACAGCGGGCAGTGGGGGGGACACAGACCCCTGGAGGAGATGGCAGGAAGAGGGGCTGGGGCTCAGTCAGGGGTACTGCGGTGGGGAATGTGCCACCCCTGGTTAGTGGGAGGTTGTGCGACATGGGGTGCTGCAGAGGGCAGGGGTTGTGGAGGTGTTGGGGTGCTGGAGGGTTATGGGGGTCACTCCTAGCTCTCACCTGGCACATCTCCACCCACTGGGTCTGCGAGTGCTGCAGGGTCCCACCTAGAGTTGGCTGCAGCTGCTCTGGGTCCACGAACTGGGGCAGGTCGCTTGGGGAGAGCACAAGTGCTTCCTGGGGAAGGGAGCAGGGCGTCACCAAGCAAGGAACTCCCACTGCCCCCCCCAGCCAGGGGAAAACCTGCCACCCCTCTGCTCCCAGGCAGGGAACCCCCTCCTATTATCCCCCCTCCAGGCAGGGAACCCCCTCCCATTATCCCCCTATGACAGGGAATTCCCCCCCCCCCCCCACACCTCCTCCCAGCTGTACCTGCCAGGCAGGAAACCCGCTCCATTATCCCCCCTCCGGGCAGAGAACCCTCTCCCATTATTCCCCCGCCCCCGACAGGGAACTCCCTCCCATTATCCCTCCCCAGGCAGGGAATCCCCCCCACACCCTCCCAACTGCACCTTCCAGGCAGGAAACCCTTCCCATTCAGCACTCTCACTCTGGTTCAGGTGCTGTCAGTCCTTCCTACCCCACCCCTGACCCCCTGGCACCCCCTACCTGAATGAGGGGCAGCTCCTCATGGCCCACCAGTGGGGCCAGCACCAGCAGGCGGCTCACAAGAGCTGGTGACACCTCCTGCAGGGCAAGAAGAAATCAGGCTGCCACCCCAGTGCCCAGGGCAGGGGGATGTGTGTGGGGCAGGTAGGGGTCACAGTTGTTCTTTGGAGTCCTTGCAGGGCTGGCAGCAGGGTGGGAGGGGCCATGCCAAGGTGCAGGCAGTGGGGGGAGCTTTGCGCTGTTGGGGAGTAGGGAGGAGTCGTGGGGGTAAGGAGCAGCATGGGGCCATGTGGGGGGCGGTGCAGGCTGTCGGCAGGGAGCCATGCGTGGTAGGAGCAGCAGGTACCCTGTGGGAGGCAAGCAAGGGGTGGGGAGGGGTCATGGCAGGGGAAGCTGGGTGGCTGTGCTGGGTCCTCGCAGGACTGGCAGCCGTGCAGGAGGCGGTGAGGCAGGGCTGGGCTCCGCAGGGGGGCTGGGGCGCAGTGCTGGGAGAACCAGAGAACCGTTAGAGGGGGTAGGAAGGGGATATGCAGGTGGGGGGCAGTGTTGGGGGGGTCTGTCTGGGGCAGTACCTGCAGCTCCTGCAGGGCTGGCAGCAGTGCAGGGGGATGGGGGGACAGAGCCCCCCCTTGCCGCAGATCCAGCAGCACCGTCAGCCCCAGCTCCTGCTGCTCCTTCCTACAGGGGAGAGGACAGTGAGGGGTTAATGGGGTGAGAGCTCTCACCCCCCATAGGAGATGAGGGAGCAGAAATGGGGCAAGGTGTGTGGCATGGGGCAGTTGTGGGGGTGTATGGAGGACAATGTGGGGTTGGTGTAGGGGATGTGATGGCCTGGGGGTTTATGTAGGGAGCATGGGGGATGGTGTGACAAGTGGGGATGAGGGTGTGGGGGCTGTGTGGAAGGAGCTAGTGTGGGGGAAGATGTGAAAAGTGGGGGGACATATGTGGGAGGACTGGGGTCTCCCTGTTGTCATTACCTGAGCAGCGAATGCAGGTATCACAGGGCTTGCCTCAGCTCCCCATGAGCTGGGAGGAGTTGGCGTAGGGATGGGGAGGGTCAGCAGGGATCCGTGTGTGTGTGTGGGGTGGGTAGGGATGCAGGGGGATGGATGTGGGAGGACGGGGGTCTCCCCGTTGGTGTTACCTGAGCAGTGAATGCAGGTATCGCAGGGCCTGGCTCAGCTCCCCCTGAGCTGGGGCTGACTCCCCTGGGGGCTGGGGGGTGACGGTCAGCAAGGCCCTTCCCATCCGGTCTACTCCGCCTGCAGGGGCAAGGCAGGGTGAAGGAGACTGTGTGCCTGGGCAGGGCCTGTGACACCCCTGCCAGGAGCATGGCAGAGGGAGGACAGCTGTGGGGCAGCCCTAGGGTGGTGGGAGCAAGCAGTTCTATTCTGCGCTCCCAGAAGCTAGGCCAAGCAGGAGGAGCGGCTGCTTGGGGTCTTCCCTGCGCTTGATGTGAGCTTGCAGGTGGCAGAAGGGGAGTTTCTCCCCCACAGCCAAAGGGGAACAGAGGATCCCAGAGGAAAACGCTCCTCCATGACCCCTACAGAACCCTCCCCAGTGCACTGCACTCTCCCTGCCCCCAGCAGGAACCCCCATCCCCGCCCCGCCGCCCTTGCTCTGTTCCCCTGTGGTGCCAGGCACCTAGCTCTGCCCCTTGGGAGATGCCCAGCTGTAGAAAACCCCTGCCCCAGACAACCAGGCCACGGCACTGAACCCAGCAGCAGCCTTTCCCTCAGACAGCCACTGCCTCCTTCCCGTGCCATGGCTCCCCACGAGGCCGCCAGCCCAGAGGGGCGTGGACAGCACAGCGTGGCACAACCAGGGGTTGCATGCTCTGTTCATTTGCCCCAGTAGCTGGTGGCTGAGCCCTCTTTCTGACCCCTGCCCCAGGGGCTGCACCCACATTACCGTATCTGCCTGTAAAGGAGGGGCTGAGGCCAGGCTGCCTGGGAAGGGAATGGAAATAATGAACCCAGCAAGAAGCACGAGGGGGCAACTCAGGGCCCCCAGCCAAGGGGCTCCAGGCCCGTGGGCACACATTCTGCCCAAGAACAAAGCACCTCTAGACCCCAGGACCTCCTAGCTCCCACCCAGCGCCCTCTCTGCTGGGCCACAGCCCATCCGGGCATTGGCACTGGGCTTTCCTTGGCCTGGCTGGCTCCAGGACGCCAGGTTTGTCCAGGCAGCTCCCTCAGCGCACTTAGGGCGACAGGGCACCGGGTCCAAGCGGAGAAGGGGAGTGGACCTGCATCAAGGCAACAGGAGGGATGTGAGGGTGGAGTGCTGCTACACCAGGCTCTGGGGTGCCAGCCCTCCCCCGTCCAGGTGCCTAGCCGCTAACCAGCATAGGTGCGGGCACTCACCTGTCAGCTGGAAGATGCCTGAGCCCAAAAGCTCCCAGTCTACATCTTGCTCCACAGGGGCCGAGGTGGGGGGCAAGGATTCCACGGGGCAGCTGGTTCCTGCACCCCCCGTGAGGGGCAAAGCACTCTTCACAAAGGGGGCTGTGCCAGCACCAATGGCCTCCGTCCTCTCCAGGGGTCTGGGGGCAGCCTCTTCCTCTGCACCTGTGGGGACTGCAGCCTCTGCCAGGGCCGCTGTGAGGGCCCCCTGCCCGGGGCAGTCAGCACGAGTCTCTTCCTCTTGGCTGGGGGGGATGGACCCCTCTCCTGAGGTGAGGGCAACGGGAAGTCTGGTGACAGAGGGGCTGTCTGGCTCTGTGCTGCTGGGGGGGATGCCTCCTTCTCCTGGGGTGGGGGCAATGGGGAGTCTGGTGCCAGAGGGGCTGTCTGGCTCTGTCCTGCTGGGGGGGACGCCTCCTTCTCCTGGGGTGGGGACAACGGGCAGTCCAGTGCCAGAGGGGCTGTCCCGTTCTGTGCTGCTGGGGGGAATGCCCCCTTCTCCTGGGGTGGGAGCAACAGGGGGTCCAGTGCCAGAGGGGCTGTCCCGTTCTGTGCTGCTGGGGGGAATGCCCCCTTCTCCTGGGGCGGGAGCAACAGGGAGTCCAGTGCCAGAGGGGCTGCCTCCTTCTGTGCTGCTGGGGGGAACACCCCCTTCTTTGGTGGTGGGGGGGATGCCCCCCTCTCCTGGGGCGGAGGTAATGGGCAGTCTGGTGCCAGAGGGGTTGCCCTCCTTTTTGGTGCTTGGGGGGATGTCCCCCTCTCTTGGGGTGGGGACAACAGGGAGTCTGGTGCCAGCAGGGATACCGCCCTCTTTGGTGCCAGCCGGGGCATCCCCCACCCCTGTCCCAGGAGACCCAGGCTCCTTCCAATCCACATTGGTGGGGCAGCCTCTCCCTCCCCACTTTCTCCTTCTGCGGTTGCCCTTGGCAGCCCGGTGCGGCAGCCCCGCAGCAGAGTCCCCAATGGCCCCTTGCTGGGGGCTAGTCCTGGCTCCTGGTGGCTCTGCTCTGGCTGACCTCAGGTCAGCACTGGAAGCCTCATGCTGGGGGCTGCTCGGCCTTGAAAGACCCTGGCTCTGTGCCTGCTGCCCAGGGCTAGGCCATGCAGCTGGCCAGGTCGCCTGCCCCCCTCCCTCACTAAGTCCCTGCACCTCAGCCACAGTGCTGGGCTGGGGAGAGATGGCTGGGGTGCCAGGGTCCCTGCTCTGCTGTTCCTCCCCGAGGCTGCAATCCCCTCCTTTCTGCCTCTCCTCAGGGACCCCATCCCGCTGCTTCTCCTCAGGGTCCCGGCCCCGCTGCTCCTCCTTGAAGCTGGGATCCCCCACATGTTGCCCCTCCCCAAGGTCCTCAGCACGCTGCTCCTCCCTGAGGCTGAGATCCCCTTCCCGCTGCTCCTTTGGAGGGTCCCCACCGCGCTGCTTGTCCCCCCCCAGACTGGGATCCCCTGCCTTCTCCCCAGTGTCTCCTCCCCACTGCCTCTCCCCAGGCAGACGCCCCCCTTTGCCCCGACTCTGTGCTGCCACTTTTTGTGCAGGGCCTCCCCGATCCTGCCCATCCCCCTGGCTGACCCTCGGCCCTCCAGTCTCCCCGTATGGCCTCTGTAGGTCCCAGCCCCGGAGGAGCCCTGCTTGGCCGGGATCTGCCCCTGGCCGCCCCCCTTCCCAGGTCCTGCGGGGCCGGTTCCTGGGCAGAGTCTCCTCCCGGCTGGGCTTGTGGTGCAGCCAGGCACGGTGGCGCCGGTTGCGGCCTTTGCCCTGGCCCTTGCGGGCGGGCAGGGTGCGGGTCTGGGAACTGGGGGACACTGGGGTTGGGGGGGCATCATGACGTGGCGGGCTGATTTCCAGGAGCTGCACGTACTCCCCCTCCAGGCCCACACCTTCCGCCTCCTGGCTCTCCCCGCCTGAGTGGCGCCCATCCCCAGGGCTGCGAGCCCCCAGCACCTCAGGGCTGGGGCCCGGCAGGCAACGCCGCCCCACCATGAAGCTGCCTTGGTGCACAAACTGCGGGCAGATGAGTTCGGTCCAGGGCAGGCGCAGCACCCGCTCTTCAGCGGCCAGCAGGCAACGCTCCAGCCGCCCGGCCCGCCGGTCTTTGTTGATGCCGTTCAGCCACTCGGCCGTGAAGAGGAAGGGGTAGGCGTCAGGCAGCACGGGCAGCTCCTGCACGCTGCGCCCGTCCGGCGACAGGCACTTGAGCACCAGGCGGGGGGCATGAGACAGGTAGGGGGCCACCTGCAGGTAGAAGTCGCCAGGACACAGCTGCTGCCAGGGCAGGGAGCTGAGCTGCACCACGACCTTCTCGTGCAGACAGAGCGGCCACCCCTCGTGACAGAACACAAACCCGCTGTACTGGGCCTGAGGGGGGAGAGGGACAGAGTCAGGGGGCAGCCCAACCTGGGGCACCCGGTCCTGCGCCTCCGAGGCCAGATGCGTCCCTCCATGCGCTGGGCCTGGAGCCGCAAACCGCTCCACACACCAGGCCCACAGACAGGCAGACAGACACCCCTCCACGTCCTGGGCCCACAGACTGACACACACCCCTGTATGCACTGGGCCTGTAGCTGCATGCCCTCTCCAAGCACCAGACCCACAGACGCACGCCCCCTCCATGCGCCAGGCCCTCAGACAGATGCACGCCCCCTCCATGCTCCGGGTCCGAGGACAGATGCACGCCCCCTCCATGCGCCAGGCCCTCAGACAGACGCACGCCCCCTCCATGCTCCGGGTCCGAGGACAGATGCACGCCCCCTCCATGCGCCAGGCCCTCAGACAGACGCACGCCCCCTTCATGCTCCGGGTCCGAGGACAGATGCACGTCCCCTCCATGCTCCGCGTCTGCAGACAGACGCACGCCCCCTCCATGCGCTGGGCCCACAGACTGACGCACACCCCTGCATGTATTGGGCCTGTAGCCACACATACTCTCCACGCACCAGCACACAGACAGAAGCCCCTCAATGGGCCAGGCCCACAGAGGCATTCCCCTCCATACGCTAGGCCTATGGACAGACACCCCTCAGTGCACCAGGCCCACAGACAGATGCACGCCACCTCCATGTGCCAGACCCACAGACAGACAGCCCTCCACCTGCCGGGCCCATGGACAGACAGACGCCCCCTCCGTGAGCTGGTCCTGTAGACAGACACATGCCCCCCCATGCATCAGGCCTGCAAACAGACACACAACCCTCCATGCACCAGGCCAAACCCACACCTTTGCACACATTGGGCCAGATACACATGGATGGACAGATGGAGGGACAGACAGACTCACACAGGCCTCCTGTTGAATGCGTGCCAGGATGTGCTTGGCCGGTATGAGGAACTCAATGGTGTAGTGCAGGGCATCCTCCCGGTACGTTCGCTCCACCACCTCGAACACTTGCCCCAGCAGGGTGGGCGCTGTGGCCGCAAAGGGCGGGTACAGGGCCGAGAGCGTGTTCTGCACACAGTCCTCCACTGGCTCGGGCTCCTGCGGGAAAGGGCAACACAGCACTGCCCTAAAGACCAGTCACACTCTTCTCCTAGCTCAGAGAGACGACCCAGAAGTCTTGGTGCACAGCTCCCAGGCCCCCTGCTCCATCCCACTAGACCTCACCACCTCTCAGCTCAGAGAGAGAACCCAGGAGTCCTGGCTCCCAGATCCCCAGCTCTAACCCGCTCTCCTCCCAGACCTTGCCCAGCTGAGGCCCTGAGGTGTGGGAAGGCGTTGTGCAGCGTGTACTAAACAGCCCAGCTCACGTTATGGGCCAGGGCCCTGCCCACACAAGGGTGCCAAGCCCAGTCCAAGCTAGCCGACAGCGTGAGCACAGCTGGGCTGGGCCAGGGAGCCGAGCACAGCCCCCTGCACCAGCTGCAAGCCATTAACGGCGCTGAGCTCATTCCTTCCGCAGCGCACAAGGCCAGGAAACTGCCATGGGGAGGGAAGAGCTCTGTCTAGACTCCGCTCCTCACACCCCATCAGCTGGCACCGGTGCCAAGTGAGGGCAGGGACCAGCCCTCAGCATCTATCTCCAAGTCCATACCCAACTCAGAGGGGGCCTGCGCCCACACAGACATCACCTCAGCCCTCTGCCCCACACAGAGCAGGCACTGGTTAGGGTTGGGGAACTGGCCCCTGGCCATCTATCCCCATCACCATACCCCGCTCAGGGCAGGACAGCCCCACAATACCCCAGTCCCCTGCTCCCCACAGCACTGGCCAGGAGTGGGGGAATTGGAGAGGGAAATCTCTACTGTAGACAGACACATGCAACTTCCCAGTGCTGCGAGCTTCCTTGTGACAGTGCCCAGCTGGAAACTCTAGGCAACGCGAGCTACCCCACGCAGTGCCCAAATGGAGACCCTTGTGCTGCAAGCTTCCCTGTGACAGTGCCCAGCCAGGGACCCCTGGCCCCAGGGCGATCCCCACCACCCAGCCCCCACCAGGGTGACTCCCTATGAGACAGACAGACACGCCCCATCCAGTGCCTCCCGTCCAACTCTTGTATAAACACAGCTCACAGGAGTGTCTCCTCCCAGCTCTTGACATTCCCTGTGTACAGGACGGCGCAAGGACAACCAGAGAATCCAGGGAGAGACATGGGTGGGGGGGGGAGACTAGGAGCTGGGGGAGGCAGATGGACCCTTGATAGCCAGAGAGTCCTGGCCAGAAGAGAGGTGGATGGGGGGTACTTACAGAGCCCTGGCCGGGCAAAAGGGGTAGAGGGGGACTAGAGTGCTGGAACAGTTTTTATAGTGGGAATGCTGAGAGCCATTTAACCAAACTGTAAACCCAGTATATAATGGAAACCATTTTGAGCCAGAGGGTGCGGCAGCACCCCCATAACCCCTAGTTCCAGCACCAATGGAAGGAGACACCCGGGAAACCCTGTCCGGCTGAAGAGATGGAGGGGTGGCACCCAGGGAGCCTTGGCCGGAGGGGACTGGATGGGGGATACCCGGGGAGCCCAGGCCAGTGCTGGGTGGGCGATATCCCAGGGGCCCTGACCCGGTTAAGTTGGATGGGGGGTAACCAGGGGCCCTGGCCAGGCAGGGGCTGGGTGGGGGGTACCTGGGGAGCCCTGGCCGGGCAGGGACTGGGTGGGGGGTACCCGAGGGGCCCTGACCAGGTTAAGTTGGATGCGGGGTATCCTGGGGCCCTGGCTGAGAGAAGGAGGAGTGGGGGTTACCTGGGGGGCCATGACTGGGAGGAGGCTGGGTGGGGGATATCCGAGGGGCCCTGACCAGGTTAAGTTGGATATGGGGTATCCAGGGCCCCTGGCCAGAAGGAGGGGGGGGGGGTTACGGGGGGGCCTGGCCAGGAGAAGGAGGGGTGGGGGTTACCCGGGGGGCCCTGGCCAGGTTAAGTTGGATGGGGGGTACCCGAGGGGGCCCTGGCCAGGTTAAGTTGGATGGGAGGTATCCGGGGGGGCCTGGCCGGGCGGGGGCTGGGTGGGGGTTACCCGGGGGGGCCCTGGCCAGGTTAAGTTGGATGGGAGGTATCTGGGGGGGCCTGGGCGGGCGGGAGTTGGATAAGGGGTACCCGGGGGGGGCCTGGCCGGGAGGGGGCAGGGGCTGGGTGGGGGGTTCCCCTGGGGGCCTGGCCGGGCGGCGATACTGACCATGGCGCACCCAGTGCGCTCCCCGTGCCGGACGCTGGGGCTCGCCCCCCCATGGGCCGCAGCGGCTCGGTCCCGCTAGACGCCTCCGGCCACCGGGCTGGACTGGAGCCGCTCACGCAGGACGGGGCCCCGCCAAGGGGGACGCCGAGACGCAGGCGGCGGCGGGCGGTGCCGGGCAGCGGCCCCGAGCTCCGCGCGACCGAGGCACGCCCAGACCGGGACCCCCACACAGCCCCAATCTGCCCGGAACACCCCTAACCTGGCCTGGGGCCCCCAGAACCCGGATCGGCTCCCCCGTGTACCCCTACCACTGGAATAACCCTGACTCCGCCTCGCACCCCCAATGCACCCCAAGCCAGGACCCTCCAGCCTAACTACCTGGGGCCCCCCAAACCCACTGCGGATAGAGCCCACCAAGGGAGCTCCCAACCCTTACCCCCCGACCCCCTACAGCCTTGCATGGGAGCCCCATACCACCACCCTGGGGAAACCCTCCACAGCAACCTCGCAAGAAGATCCCCTACCTGTGGGTAGTCCCTCCTCATCCCTGTCACTCCATAGACCCTGCCGGATCTAGGGATCCCCCTCCCAACACACACCCTGTCCTATCCAGGGACACCCCCCCACACACCACACCCAGACTCAGAATCTTCCCCCTCCCCAGACTAGGAATTCCCAGCCCCCACGCACATCCCGTTTCAGGCAGCTGTAAAAAAAACCCTTGATCTATTCTCCGGCCCTACCAGAAAATGTTGCCAGGGAATGTTTCCCCAGGGTACTGCCCCAAAGTTGGGGCCTGTCTCCCCTGGGACTTTCACCCCTCAACCAGGAGACCACATAGCTCAGACCTCAGAATCTGGAATAAAGTACAGGAGAGGAGAGCAGCGGGAGCGCGTCTGAGTGGCAGAGGTAAGGAAGTGCCAGCTGAAGTAGTTGTCTGTTCAATGCAGCCTGACACCATGTTCCAGCTTCTTGCTGGTGCGAAATACATCACCTGGGACTTGCTCCCATCCCTGGGTGAAAAGGGCAGAGGCACACCTCGCTGAGGGACAGGGGTCCGAGTGAAGCTGCTTAGTGCTTTGCCTCTGAGTTTGGTCCGGTCTGTGACTTGAATCAGTAAACAGCTTATGACGTCTGGGCGGTGGTGGTGGTGGGGGGTCCATCTAGAGCAGCCCTGTCCCTGGACAACCCAGAGAAAGCCTGGGCCCAAGGAGGCCTGTTGACAATGGAGACGCAACTGTCACAGAAATGTGACAACGTGGGAATATTTTGTAAATTTTTTGAGTCCTGTTTCTGTCTTAGTTGTGCATTGTTACCCAGTGAGTGGAAGGGAGCTGTTTGCTCTCCAAGCAGGCAGAGATAGCGGTGTGGGTATCACCTAGCTATCTGGGCCTTAGTCTCCATATCAATGGAACCGATAACTAGTCTTAGACTTCTTTGAAGATACCACAGATGGCAAAGGTGCCATTCAAGCTACCGTTATGGTCTGCTACTAGGAGAGTAATAATAGGGACCAGTCCCAGCCTGAAATGCTGTCTGGAGCAACAAAGAACGGTTCCTTGAAGGAGATTCCTGACTCACTTTCCTACCAAAGTACAAAAATTCTGAAGTCAAGCAGTCCAGTTTTCAGTAAAGCAACAGGTAAATTGACTATAATTGAGCTTTCTACATTCACTAACCTTGACCTCACTCAGCTATTGTGCAAAAATGCGATGCACTCAAGGCAACAAAAAATAAGTATGGCTTCAGTTGAAGACAAAGCCTCAAATGTTCCAGACATCCAGGATATATCATACCGCACCATCTCAGAAACCAGGTACATTCCAACATGATCAACCTTTAACTTGCAACTACACAAGGTGCAAGAGCAAATGCCCTGTGTATGCCAATTATACCTGCTAGTCCCACTGCTTTCTCAGTAATTTCACACACTTTGTTCAGCTGGAACAGAATCTCTCCTTGTATGGAAACTGTTCCATACTCCCAATCATTTTTGTTGCCCTTCTCTGCCCTTTCCCAATTCTAATATATCTTTTTTGAGATGGGGAGACCAGAACTGCACATGCTATTCAAAATGTGGGTGTACCATGGATTTATACTGTGGCACTGTGAAATTTTCTGTCTTATCTATCCCTTTCCTAATCCTGTTAGCTTTTTTTGACTGTTGCTGCACACTGAGCATATGATTTCAGAGAACTATCAACGATGACTCCAAGATCTCTTTCTTGAGTGATAACAGCTCATTTAAAATCCCATCCGTCTGTATTTATCATTGGGATCATTTATCATAGGGATAGGATACAGAGGGACCTAGACAAATTGGAGGATTGGGCCAAAAGAAATCTGATGAGGTTCAAAAAGGACAAGTGCAGAGTCCTGCACATAGGACGGAAGAATCCAATGCACTGCTACAGACTAGGGACGGAATGGCTCGGCAGCAGTTCTGCAGAAAAGGACCTAGGGGTTACAGTGGACGAGAAGCTGGATATGAGTCAACAGTGTGCCCTTCTTGCCAAGAAGGCCAATGGCATTTTGGGATGTATAAGTAGGGGCATTGCCAGCAGATCGAGGGATGTGATCGTTCCCCTCTATTCGACACTGGTGAGGCCTCATCCGGAGTACTGTTTCCAGTTTTGGGCCCCACACTACAAGAAGGATGTTGAAAAATTGGAAAACGTCTAGCGAAGGGCAACAAAAATGATTAGGGGACTGGAACACATGAGTTATGAGGAGAGGCTGAGGGAACTGGGGATGTTTAGTCTTCGGAAGAGAAGACTGAGGGGGGATTTGATAGCTGCTTTCAACTACCTGAAAGGGGGTTCCAAAGAGGATGGATTTAGACTGTTCTCAGTGGTAGCAGATGACAGAACAAGGAGTAATGGTCTCAAGTTGCAGTGGGGGAGATTTAGGTTGGATATTAGGAAAAACTTTTTCACTAGTAGGGTGGTAAAACACTGGAATGCGTTACCTAGGGAGGTGGTGGAATCTCCTTCCTTAGAAGTTTTTAAGCTCAGGCTTGACAAAGCCCTGGCTGGGATGATTTAATCGGGGATCGGTCCTGCTTTGAGCAGGGGGTTGGACTAGATGACCTCCTGAGGTCCCTTCCAACCCTGATATTCTATGATTCCACTATGCATTCCTTTGCACTTATCAACATTGAATTTCATCTGCCATTTTGTTTCCTAGTTGCCCAGTTTTGGGAGAGCCCCTTGTAGCTCTTTGTAGGCAGCTGTGGACTTACCTATCTTCAGTAATTTTGTATCAACTGCAAACTTTGCCACTATTTACCCCCTTTTCAAGATCAGTTATGAATATGATGAACAGCACAGGTTCCATTACAGATCTTCAAGGAACCCTGCTATTGGCCTCTCTCCACTGTGAAAACTTCCCATGTATTCCTACCCTTTGTTTCCTAACTTTTATCCAGTTGCTGATCCATTAGAAGACCTTCCCTCTTTTCCCATGACAGCTTATTTTGCTTAAGAGCCTTGGGCCTTTGTTACAGTATGCAATTATTGTAAAAATTGTGTGGAAATGTGAGAGTTAGGAAGGATGAGAGCTCCTTTAGTGACATCACTGGAAAAAAATTTCAATTAATTTCTGAGAAAAAAATCATAAAAAGTTGTTCATTTTTGCTCATTGCCATCTAGTGGGAAAAGGCTTGAATTGCAGACTTCTTAAAAAAAAATTCAAAAATCAAAGTTTGGATTGTTTTTCCCTGGAAAAACCATCAAAGCTAGAAAGGTGCCAAGGGGTGCAACAGATTCAGTTACAACAAATCTAGTATTTGTATTCTAAAGTTTATACAGGAAGCCAAACTGTTGGAAGTGGATGAAGGATCATAAAAAATCATCACAATTACTTATCACAAAAAATGTTGCTAGAGACCGAATTAGTCTAAACAAAAAGGTCTACCGATTGTACACAAGGAGGTCATGTGAGGAAGATGGAACTGAAAATTAACAGTCCAAAATTGTGCTGGAAATTAGGCCAAATTGGGTTGGAGGGGAGCACAGTAGGCAGGACCCATGGCAGTGAGGTAGGAGGCAGCCAGGGCTCTATTTCCGCTCCCCTTTATATGCATCAAACAGCCATGGGCAAGGAGATCAGGGAAACACTCCCTGATCCCCACCATGAACCCTGGGTATTTCATGCTCTGGTACTAGTAAGCATGCAATGGGAAATTTAGACTTAGAATCATAGAAGACTAGGGTTGGAAGAGACCTCAGGAGGTCATCTAGTCCAACCCCCTGCTCAAAGCAGGGCCAACACCACCTAAATCATGCCAGCCAGGGCTTTGTCAAGCCAGGCCTTAAAAACCTCTAAGGATGGAGGTTCCACCACCTCCCTGGGTGACAGTCTCTACCTACCACCATCCTACTGCAGTGCATCGTGGGAAACAGTGTCCCTCACATCCATCTCAGGTGGTGGAACCACTCCCATGAAGCTTTAGCACTGATGCCTCATGAGAACTGTAGTCTCCCTGCCACAGCCCCGCGCCTTAGAAGAGTTTTAATCCCTCCCTTCCCCTCCCCCACCCCACCCGCTGTTGCTAAGATACGTATCTGGTTGGTAAGGGCAATGGTCATAGCCCTGATGATTATGGACAGGTGTTGTGCTTGAGCTGGGGCTTGGTTTCTATTAAAAGGTTCCCGACTCGTTCTGTATTTGGGAAAAAAAATGATATGGTTTAATCACATGGTGATAACCCGCTTCCCATTCCACTGGTATCACTGGAGGATGACAGACAGAAGCTACTGAAGAGACAAGGTGGATGAGATCATATCTTTGATTGGACCAACTTCTAGTGGTGAGGATTTGTCTATGCTACACCATGTACCACCTCATTGTAGACACGGCCTATGCTGACAAGAAGGGTTCTTCTCCCGGAAAGGGGCACCCTATGCACAGTGCTGGCATGCTCACGTTGTGCCTGTTAAAAGAATAGGGCTTTGCCAGAAGCGGGTCACAGCCAGTTACTTCCCTCCAGCTCCAGAATGGGGGATTAGGGAGACTTTTACCTCAAGAAGGATGGTTTTAAGCTCTTTATTCCACACCTTAAATACATTTATACTTAAGGGGAAAAAAACAGAACAGACTGCTCAGGCAGAGCCCAGAGATAAGTGAAAACGACAGTATTTACAGCCCAGCAACAAGAGAGAATACATGGTTTTATTCCACAAAGCCATAGTGTTGTGGATAGGAACCCAAAAGAGTCTGTTTCCGTCCCCGGTGAGCCACACAGCTCAGCCTTTGCTCCTTTTGGAGAAAGATTAAACTTCATTTTCACTTCAGTAGCAAACTAGGTCTTTAGTTAACATGATCTGAAGGTTGTGAACCCAGTTCGGTCACGTGCTTCTCAGAAATAGACATCTATCACCCACTCCACAGCCAAGCCCCTGCCAGCAACCAGAGCTGGGACATGGAATTCTGGACACAGGGCCAAGCAAATTCAGGTTGTTTCCTGCTAATGAAACTTCACTTCTTACCTTCAATAAAACTCCATTGTTCAGGAGAAAGACACTCCTTAGGCTGTATCCCTACCAGGGACTGCAGCCCATGGTGAGGAGAGCCCTTACAGGGTCCCCACCACAGAACCAGAGCAGGACTGGTGTAGAGAACCAGCATGAAACAGCTGCCTGAATCTCCGCTCTGAGAAACCAAGACTCACCGCCAGCCTTTTCAGTCCAAACTACCCCCCTTTCGAGCCAGAAGCTCCAAGGGAACAAGGAACAAGTTCAAAGGGCAAATTCCCAGATCCTTCCAAACTGACTTCTGAGCATCTATACCGGCACTGTGGAGGGGTGGGGGCAACTGGCCATGGGAAGCTGAATGCTGGGCTGGGGATGGGCTCGGGCTCACACTGGGCTGGGGAGTTTCCTGTGTTCCCTGCTCACATTCCCCTGACCTGCTGGGCCTTTTCTCGTTGACACTGGGCTGTGCCAGTTCTGTTGGCAATGTGCAGCTCGCAGACAGGTTAGCAGTGGGAGGCCTCTCACAGTCGACACTGGCAGAAGGCAGGTCAGCGGCCAGCTCTCCTGCACTGGCTCCTGGATCTGACCCTTTCCTGCTCCCATCTGGCTTCTGCGCAGTCAGTTCCCTGTAGGATCTGTGCATGTGCCTCTTCAATCCATCATAGTCCAGGTTGCTCAGCTCTTCAGGGAGGGACATCAACAGGTCTAGGACGACGGCAGACTCTGGAAGGAAGACCAGACCTTGTCAGGCTGGACTAATTTAAATAACCTGTTTTCAATCTCGGTTTGCATTGTACTTTTCAGTTATTTTCCTAAAGAGAGGTGGATTCTCATTGATTGGAAACCATTCAAACATGCAGCTTTGCAACTAATTATATACTTTTCACTCAACTTGGTGCTTCTTTTTCCTAACCAAAAATACTGTGTGTCTATATATACTTAAGAATTCTAGCATTTTTTATGATGTTAGGAAAATGCATTTGCTATTTACTAGATGATTAATTTTTTACCCATGATTTCTGATTAACTACATTTTGGATGGAAACTGAAATTCAGTTAAATGCATAAAAACAGCAAATTACAATTGTTTTTTTAAAAAACCTCCTTAAATGTGCTACACAAGAAAAATACACAAGAAAAAAGTAAGTTTATCACAACATTTTGTATTTAAAACTGTGGTCTTAGGACTAATACCTCTTACTCTCATTTTCATTCATAAAGTGCAAGAGGAAAACAAGCTTTCCTACTTTTTCAGCTCTATCAGTTTCTCAATTTTGAATGAGCTAGTCATTGAACTGAACTAGCTGAATCCACTGAAAAGAAGAAAATATTCTCTTTGCACCTGCAGGAGAGAGTACTGCTTTCAAAAGTTTGTTTAAGAACAAAAGAATGGCCATATTGGGTGAAATGGTTCATCGAGCCCAGTATCCTGTCTTCTGACAGTGGCTGGTGCCAGATGCTTCAGAGGGAATAAACAGAACAGGGCAGTTGTTGAGTGATCCATCTCGTCGTCTACTCCCAGCTTCTAGTAGTCAGACGTTCAGGGACACCCAGAGCACAGGATTGCATCCCTGACAATCTTGGCTAATAGCCATTTATGGATATCCTCCATGAACTTATCTAGTTCTTTTTTTAAAAACAGTCAAGAGTTTTGGCCTTTACAACATCTCCGGCAACAAGTTCCACAGGTTAACTGTGCGTTGTGTGACGAAATACCTCCTTATGTTTCTTTTAATCCTGCTGCCTACTAATTTCATTAGGTGACCCTGGGTTCTTGTCTTATGTGAAGGGGTCAGTAAGACTTACCTTTTGCTTTCTCCACATGGTTCATGATTTTATAGACCTCTATCATACCCCCCTTCATCTTCTCTTTTCTAAACTGATCTCTCCTCATATGGAAAAGAAGAGATTAAATTTCAACCAACTCTAGTTTCAGGTGCTTGGTCAGTGACTTTTACCAAGTCAGTGGTTTGACTTTATTTGAAATTTGGAAGCAAACGTACTGTTTGAATATTTTTTGCTATTTAAATTATTGTAATAGATTATAGTAAGGTTTGATCTCAGCAATTTTAAAGAGGTTTATTTTATAGGAAGAAAAGTGTGCTAAACTTAAATATAAAAAAATCCTATTTTAAAATTGTTTCAAAAAATTGTTGATTTTTGGCCAGCCTGAACCTTGTCATTCATGCCTGCGGAACACAGGCTACATTCTGGCTCCGGATCCATGAACAGATGCATGCCCCAGGCTCCGCACTCACTCACGCACTCATTCCCCATCTCAATCACACTCAGGTCCCTCAGTCCCTGTGTCAAGTCAGTAGAGATGGGGTGGTCAACCTAAGCCTGAGAAGCAGCCAGAATTTACCAATGTACATTGCCAAAGAGCCACTGTAATATGTCAGCAGCCCCCCCATTAGCTCCCCCCACCCCTCATTCCCGGCACCTCCCGCCCACCAGCAGCCACGCAGATCAGCGCCTCCCCCTCCCTATCAGCTGTTTCGTGGTGTGCAGGAGGCTGGGGGGGGGGGGAGGAGGAGTGAGGGCACAGCAGGCTCGGGGAGGGGGCGGGAAGGGGTGGAGTGGGGGCAGGGCTTATGGCAGAGCCAGGGGTAGAGCAGTGAGCATCCCTCGGCACACTTGAAAGTTGGCGCCTGTAGCTCCAGCCCCTGAGTCGGTGCCTACACAAGGAGCCGCCTAGTAAACTTCTGAAGAGCCACATGTGGCTCCAGAGCCACAGGTTTGCCACCCCAGCAGTACAGGAAGTGGCAGTGAATGGCTGACAGCCCTCCCTGGCCCCATTAAAATCCCCCCCATGGCCTGGATCATGGGACATTTTGATTAAGCAGCACATGGCTACAATGCTCCAATCAGTCTTGCCACAGAAACGCTCACTAAGGAAAGGGAGGTGTTTTCAGCTGGCAGATCTGAAGGAGCCAATGTTTTGCAAGTGAGAGTCCAGGAATCATGTACTGCTGCCTTGCTCACCTCAGTCTGAGCACAATGTCTCGGTTTATAAGGTGACTAGCACTTATCAAGCAATATACAAGTATGAGAATGGAGAAGACGGAGGTGGGCCAGGACCCCACCCCCCACCATCTCAGCACTAGAGGGATCCCGGAGCACGTGCACCCACTCAGCCTCAGGGGCCAACCCTCCAGCACTGTCTGCAGAAGGATGGCCAGGAATGCCATGAAGAGGAAAGTGGAGGCAGTGCTAGAACATAGCAAACGCTCCCTCCTCCGGCAAGGGAGCAGATCAATTTCTAGACTCTGGAGGAAGCTACTGATTGGCAATGAGCAAGTGGTGGTTACAAGGTCCCAGGGAACACATTCCGTGCCTGTGAGCCTCTAGCTGGCCTTGGATTAATTTCCACACTTGGAGCAGTCCCACACGTCACCAGGGCTTGCTGGTGTCATACCATGAGCTAAGCTATGGGGGAGTGACGGCTATCACAGCCAGCTGGTTCCCTCCCTGAAGATCACAAACATGTAGCTTTTTGGATCCCAACTCACCGTATGGCGAGAGCTCGGGCGCTTTGATGTCCCTGGAGAGCATCGATAAATATTTATAGATCTTCTCAAAGTCCACGCTGAATTTCTCTGGTTCCTCGCGAACACCTGGGTCTGTGCTAGTGCTGGAGGACGGAGCTGCTGCTGGGGGGCCTGGGGCAGCATCCCCATTCCTTGCTGCATCATCAGGGGCTGGCGATGCAGCATGCTGGCTCGAGGAGCCTGGAAGGACCTTCTTCTCTGCAGCTCTGGTCAGCTTCTGGGGAACGGAGTGGAGCAAACTGAGCGGCTCGGTGACTGCGATGGTCAGAACCTGAAATTCAGAGATTCTAAGGACAGACTCATCTAGTCTGACCTCCTGCATGACAAAGGCTGCAGATCTCACCTGAATTAATTCATGTTTGAACTAGAGCAGATCTTTTCAATAAACTTCCACTCTTGATTTAAAAATTACCTTTTCCAATGGTTAATTCCCATCCCTGTTACAACGTTGTGCCTTATTTCTACTCTGAATTTGTCTAGCTACAAGTGGGAGCTCAGGAAGCAGAAGGAATGGGGACCCCCTTTCCAGAAATGCCAGACACTCCCAGGGCAGCCCCCCTCCCAGTGTCAGGCACTTCCCGACCCCACAGCAGACCTTCCTCAAGGTCAGACTAGGCCAAGAGAGCCGTCCACCATGCAGCACAGCAAAGCAGAACTAAATGCAATGCAATAAGCTACAGGGGCTTTGGACAGCCTGATGCTCTCTGGAGGAATCTCTGATAACCAACCACATCTCCTCTCACTCCTGGATACGAGGTGCATGGCAAGGGAACGGATTTGCTCACTGCCAAGACAGGTGGCAGAGATACCACTGCCCATGCCCTACTTCGATCTCTTCACTTTTACGTAGCTAAGCTGCACAGAAAGCAGCAGTTGGGAGAGCAACGCTCAACGTCAGAACAGCTGGGTTCTACTCTGAGCTCTGCCACGGACCTGCTGCATGATGTCAGGCAAGTGGTTTCACGGTATGCGCCCCAGTTTCCCCCATACCAACAGGAAGGGTGAACTGCTGCTTGGCCACTGCAGCAATGCAGCCATGTGAACACAGAGGAAGGTGGTAGAACTCTTGTAGTACACAAGGATGGAATAGCCTGCCTGTAGCAGAGATATTTCCTACCAGCGACCAGAAGGGACTGGCAGGCTTGAGCCCTGGCATTGGCCAGGTTTTATTCTTCATTCTCTGTAGAAGTCTCTGACCCTGCTGGGTTCTTGGCCCCAGTGGGATCTTGCAGCAGTCACTGAACACTGATGCCTGTTACCTGAGAGAAAGCTGTTGTCACGGTTTCTTCCAGCTTATCCGTCAGCTTCTCAGCAAGATCTGTCCAGACCTGAGAGGCAGATTTCAGTGAGTGCACTGGAATCAGGCATCCATCCACCTACGCACAGCTACAGTGCGAGAAGTATGAGGCCAGCCAGCAGAGGGCAAGGAGAGCACAGAGTGAGACAGGGACAGCTCCAGAAAGGACAGACTCACTGCAAATGCCTTGTGCCTCAAGCCCATTCTGGTACAGTACAACCAAACTCACCCTTGCCCTGGTACCGTACAGACAAACCAGCCCTGACCACCCCCACACAACACCAGCCCTGATTTCCAGATTCTCCGTACCTCAATAGGAGCTAGGATCTCAGCTTCTTTGCATTTCTGCTCCTCCCGGCAGCGGCGATACTCCATCTGTATGGCCTCCCTTGCTACACGGCCCTTCAGCTGGTGGATGAAGGCCAGAATCTGCAACCACAGGGAGGTTCAGGCATAGCAGTATACAGAGATGCCTGTCCCCCAATAAACAGCTCATGGGTGGGCTGAGAAGGGTGTGGCTGAATGCCTTCTATCCCAACTGGACTACATAGCTGCAGCTGAACTGGGTGTCAGTTCCACCTCTCCCAAAACCCTCTCTGGTTCCAGACAGCAATGAGTTAGTGGGGTGAACTTGCAAAAAGATTGTACAACTAATAAGAAGGACCAAAAAACTTTTAGGCCTGAAAAACCATGGGAAGAGACGGCTGCGCCTAGGTCAGGGGTGGGCAAACTACAGCCCTGGGGAGCAGGGTCGAGAGCTGCAGCACGCGCCTCGGCCCCACTCCAGCCAGGGGCCGCACCATGCGGCTGCTGGAAGCCATGGCATGGCCCCCCTCCGGCTCCTACGCACTCCAATGGGCCCCCTCTGGTGCTCCAATGGGAGCTGCAAGGGTGGTGCCTGCGGACGGGGCAGCATGCAGAGCTGCCTGGCCATGCCTCTATGTAGGAGCTGGAAAATAAACATGCCACTGTTTTTGGGAGCCGCTTGAGGTAAGCGCCGTTCGGAGGCTGCACCCCTCAGCCTCTCCCTGTGCCCCAATTCCATGCCCCAGCCCTGATCCTCCTCCTACTCTCCAAATCCCTTGATTCCAGCCCAGAACACCCTCCTGCACCCCAAATCTCTCATTTCCAGCCCCACACCAGAGCCCACACCCCCAACCGGAACCTGCACCCCTTCCCGCACCCCTGCCCCAGCTCTTATCCCCCTCCCACCTTCCGAACCCCTCAGTCCCAGCCCAGAACACCCTCCCACATCCCAATTTTGTGAGCATTCATGGCCCGCCATCCAATTTCTATTTCCTGATGTGGCCCTGGGGCCAAAATGTTTGCCTACCCCGGTCTAGGTACTATGGTGATGGGAACTGTTAAGATAACTGGATAGAAAATGCTGTGGAGAAAGTTGGCTGGGAGAAGCTGAGAGGGGAGCTGTGACTGTCAGAGACAGATAAGGGGCAAGACATCACCCACAGGAGCCTGCAAAACCCCTGAGCTACAGGAGATGCATAGGCCAACATCCTCTCTAGTGCTGCCAAAATCAGGGAACAACATAAATGGAAACAAGAGGAGCCGCCATCAGGCAGCACTAGGTTTCCCCACCCCAACCGCAAACTGAACAGTGGAGAGGGACCTGCAGGGCAGTACGATGGTGGCCCCCGTTCCCAAACCAAGCAGGAGATTGGGCACTCTCTCTCTTTTGTTAGCAGAGAGTGCTCTGCTGTCCCCTAATTACCTTTATTCTGACCCTGGACTGGCCCCAGTCACCAGCTTGGCTGGGACCAGACCCCCGAGCCCGCGCTCACCTCGGCCTCACTCCTACGGGGCAGATGCTCCCGCAACTGCTCGGCCTGCAGCTCCCCTTGAGGGGCCTGGGCCTTCAGGGCCTTGATGAGGTGCCGCTTCTCCTGCGCCGTCCAGGGGGCCCGAGCGGGTGCGTGGCGTGCAGGGGGGCCCGTTTCGTAGCGTGTGGGGGCCGAGCGGGTCCGAAGAGGGGGCTTCATGGCTCAGGCTCTGCAGGGGAAGACAAAGGAGTCAGAGGCCAAAGCCCCCGGGTCCTCCCAACATCTCGCCCCCAGCCACCCCCTCTACCCACAGCCCCCCTCGCTCTCCCCACCCACGGACCCTGCGGGGGAATCCGGGCTCTGCGGCCGGGGAAGCGGAAAGAGCGAGCGCCGCGCTTCGGCCGCGTCGCACAGATATGACGTCACAGCAAGACCTCCGGAGTCGGCGCCGCGACGGAGAGCCTGGAGGGGCGGGGGAAAGAGAAGTGAAGAAATGCATTGTGGGAAGCGTGGTGTTTCCCCCGGCCTCCATCTCCCATCGGCCATTGCGGGGGCTCGGGACTTTCCGTTTCCAGGACCAGAGCCCTGTGAGGCCGGAAGCGGAAGTTGCCGTGGGGAGCACGGCCCTGAGCGCCAGGGAGAGGTGTGGGCGCTACGGAATGACGTGAGCCCCGCTCCGGGCCCGGGGCATCACGGGAGTTGTAGTCCCTGCCCTGCCGCGGATTTCGGGCGGGGATTCTGGGTATTGGGGTTTTAGCTGCGCCCGCGCCGCGCTGCCGCCCTCCTCCAGGGCCGGGCCCCCTCGGGCCGTGGCGCTGCTCCGGGCGCCGGCCGGGTTTGCTGCAGGAGCAGGCCCGGGAGCCCTGTGGCTGCGCTGAGCAGACGGCCTGCGGCGCCGGCGGGTTTTCCTGGGCAGGTTAGTGCGGGCTCGATGCCTCAGCCCGCGCCCTGACAAAGAGCCCGGGAAGGGGCGCCTGGGAATTGGGGTCCCGCGTCCGGACAGTCAGAACACGTGGCCCGGCTCTTCGCTCACACGTGGGAGCGTGTCCTCGTACCCAGGTCACAGGCGGGGGGCGGGCAAAGGGTTTTTTCCGATAGCCGTTTGCTAATGGGGGGTGTGTGTGACAAGAGGCTTTGGGGGGTGTACCGCAATTTCACTGCCTCACCTTGTTTGCGTTGCTGTTTCAGTAGCCTGACCCCTATGTCCAGGCGCACACAGGCTACAGAAGGACATACAGTCACGTGTTCTGTCCTAACTATATAGCCAGTTGCCCCCAATCCTCCTGACTCAAGATGATAATGTGTGAAGTAACGCTTGAAATTAAAATGAAGACATTGGGTTTTATTGGTGATTATTCCTTCCCTGGGGTAATAAAAACTTTTAGGGAAGCTCCAAATTATTATTAAATTGCTTATAAACTGCTTTTCAAACTGAACTTGTTCTCAAGCAGTAACCAAAGCGCTTTAATATTTATACATTTCAAACAATTATTTAACTGGCAGCCAATGTGGGGCTTAAGATATGTCTCAATTGAAAAGCTTGGCTAAAAATTGTGTAACTGTAAAGTTTTTTTCTCTAAAACAAGATTAAAACTTTTTAATCTGTGAAGATAACTGAAGCTGGTCATGTCAGTGCTATATTTACAGTTCATTTACCCTGCAGAACAAGGTTGTTTTCATATTATGACTATCGAACTTTTCAGGCCCAACAATTAAACAGGGCATGCATCTCCTTTGCAGGAAGGTTGGTTCCCAGGAGAGTGACCTGCCTGTAATCAGAGATGTTCAGTCTTCTTTTGGCTCCTCTTACACGTTGGTGGGTTGGAGTCACTGGTCACTATTTTCTCCTTCTCGGTACTTGATCTTGGTTTCCTTTTGACAACATGAGCCTCTTAGCCAGGGACAGCTCGCTCTTGGGATAAAAAGAAGGGAGAGGGGTGATAGTTTCCTGTGACTTCTATTCCAGTGGCTTTGCCCACAGGGGATAGGGAGGAGTGAGGGGTGCCCCTGGTCACCATTGCTGCATCCCCTCGGCTCGGTCCCCCAGCCGTCATTCCTGCAGCCGCCGCCACCACCACTGCTAAACACCGGTGACAGGCAGAGGTGGGAACTGTGCTGCTGCTAACGCTACCAAACCCACCTCCACTGTCCCCTTCGCTGGCAGAAAGGGCCAGAAAAAGGGCAAGGCCCAACCAAAAGCCCCACTGTGTGGTGACTACAATGGCCCCACCATTGGCTACAACTCCCCCCTTCCCCGCCATCCTTTCCACCATCTCTGAGGGCACTGACCTTCCAGCCCCAAGGACATGCACCCAGGTGGCCGCAGCTCCTTCTGCTCCCCACTGCTGCCTCCTCCTCTTTTCCTTCCTCTGTCTCCGGCAGCTGGGGTCTCTTCCTCTCCCTGAGCAGGAGGCACGGCCTCTGCTGCCTTCATCTTTGTCTGCATGGTGGAGGTCCAATCGTGCCAATCTCAGCTGGACGACATTTACATCTCTCATCTGAACATGTGGGGTGTGCCCACTCCTCCAGCATCAGGTTGGCCCCATTCACAGACCACCACGTGATGTCTGTGACAGTCTCACTGATACCTGAGTGGCCAGGGCTGGTCTACAGGCCTTTCAACAACAGCCTGCTGGATAGTGTCCTTCTGGGGGAGTTCTGGCTGGGTGGGCACAGGCGAAGGCACATCTTTCCCTCAGTGCAGAGGTGGGGGGTAGGGGGCCTGGCTCTTCTGCCGTGACTACACCCGTGGGGACAATTGGTGGAAAGATGCAGTGATCGAGAAGTTGGAGTGTGAGAGATCTTTGAGCCAGAGAGATGCCTGGCTGCTCACCTGGGAATCTCTCCCTCTTGGAGTGTCTGGAGAAATGGGACAAGCTTTGGGTCCTTGATGACCGCAAGGCTTAGGGAGCCTTCATCTTGCTCTTTCTGGAGAAACTTCACAGCTCCCACTTCATCTATTTCCTGGAGAAGAAGAAAAGGGGTGCCAAAAGCATCACCTGCCTCCTGGCAGAGGATGGCACCCCTCTTACAGATCCAGAAAAGATGCAGGAAAGAACAAGGGCTTTCTACCTGTTCTCCCCAGATCCACCTGATGCCAATGCTTGCAGGCTCCTGAGGGATGATCTCCCTATGGTCAGAACAGGCAACCAGGACTGGCTGAAACTTCCTCTCACTCTGGCCAAGTTCCAGGAAGCCGTCTATCAGATGCCCACCAACAAATCCCCAGACATCAATGGGCTGACTGTGGACTGCTACCAAATGTTCTGTGAAGTCATCAACCTGGACCTTGTCATCAACTGAGCTGAGTTCCTGGGGAGCAAGATGCTCCCTCCTGATGTGCAGGCAGACCAACCTGAAGAACTGGCGCCCAGTATTGCAGCTCGGCACAGACTATAAAGGTGTATCAAAGGCCGTCTTGCAACAGCTGATGTCCAGGCTGGTAGACACAATCCACCCCAACCAGACCTACACTGTTTTGGGCCAGACCATCTTCAATAGCCTCTATCTGGTCTGGAACCTTCTCCACCTGATGTGTAGGGATGGTCAGTCATTCGTCCTCCTGTCTTTCAACCAGGAGAAGGGGTTTGAGACGGTGGATCCATGAAAAGGATTGTTACCAGGGAAAATGGCAGAATTAGAATGATAGAAGTTGCAAAGTCCTTGCACCTTAGCTAAGGTACACATGGAAACTGGTGATTTGCAGGCTGACCTCACTGTTGCAGCAGTGGCACGCAATTTTGCACCGTTTCTACTGGGGAATGATTTTTTTGATGTGGCAGAATCTGTCCCAGGGTTTGTTAGCAGCAAGAAAGAATCTTGTGCTAAAAGCCCCAGAGGGGAGGGTAAAGTTACAAGTGCTGCTGGGGAAATAGGAGTGTCTCTTTAATTCCTTGGTAGCAGCAGGTGTGGTCCAAACCAGTTCCTGTAGTCCAAGGGCTCAAAGCAAATCCCCGTGGGAGGGTCTGGATAGAGCCAGCTCCTATCCTGTGAACATCTCCCTGTGGGAGGGGAATGTTCCACATTCTAACAGGCAGGACTTCCCAGCTGCTGACTGCCAAGAAGTTGCAGGTCAGCAGGGGACAGGTCCTGCCCTGGGATGCACAGAGACATGTATCCAGGAGATGGAAGTTGGGGTCTTGGTGACTGCTGTGGTGGGAACAGACCACAAGGACTCTGTAATTGAAAGCAAGCTCAACCTGAGTTAAAAGGTGGGGATTTTGCTGGCCAGCGAAGTGTCTGTCATAGCTGGCAGCTGTGAGCCCACATCTGGAACATGGCCACCTTTTGGGGGACACAGGAGTGTCTGCCTCAGAGGGGAGCCCAGAGAGGGAAGTCCTGACGGAAGGTGAGGGGGGACAGGAGGGTCTGCTCACCTTTTGTAGGGAGGCTTTTCCCCAGGAGGAGGGTAAAAAATCTACATCTGAAATGCCAGACCCCTCACCTGTGGATAAGGTTTTAAGGGAAGACTGGGGGTCAGATCTCCTGGAGGGGAGAGTCCATCCAGTTGACCTGTTGGGAACAGAGAGTGGCGTGACCGACGGGATCTTACCAGTCCAAAGCACTCCATTAAAGAATGTTATTCCTGCTACCCTTGTAAAAGATAACATGGCTGGGGGAAAAAAAAACTTTGCATTTGGGAAGCTTCACAAGGGGATGGGGTCCAGCCCAAAGAAATTCTAGGGGGAGGGGCCCAGGGCAGGCATGGCTGCAATGCACCCTTTCCTTGCCAAAGCCTCAAAACTTGCCTGAATTGAGAGCCTTCTCCAAAGAGGCAGAAAAATCTGTATCAAAGCATCTACCATGGTACACAAAGGGATTGGAAAATGGAATAGACACTGAACAAGCCAAACTGTGTGAACAAAGCCCTGAAAGGCTGTCTGTCATAAATTGGCCGTCAATCTTGTGTCTTTTCCTACTTCATCTATGGGTCAAGACAAGGGAGTTAATACTAGTGGTAAACCCTTTAAAGATGTGTGACGTACCTGGTTTGTGGAAAAAAACTTTTGTACATGGTAGGGATGGTGTCAGGACAGTCCCACAAGCATGTTGCTTTTCAGCTTATACCTGTACACAAGCTGGAAACTTGGCACAGCAGCAGAAGCATAGGAGGTCTACACTGTTGTGTGGAAGTGGAAACTGAGGCACGTCGCCTCATGGCATTGGTGACTGAATGCCAAGACACCTACATGTTAACAGATAGTGCTGTCTGCATTCTGTTAGCAATACTGCACTCCACATGTTTTCAGGCACCCAGAGACCAGGAACCCAGAACTTTGCTAGGTCACCTATGAATGACATCACAGGGTTTAAAGGTACTGGGAGGGGGTGTGACCAGAGACAAACAGGGATTTTACATGTACTGCCTCCACCATGGACAGTGTCCACGTCTCTGGCAGTAAATTCAGGAGGAGGCTGTGATGTTATTGACATGAACTGTGATCAT